TTTTTGTGTGAACATTTTCGATTTTGTATTTTACATTTTTAACTTTATTATGCTATAACTTTTTGAAAAATGTATGGATCATTATAATTTATTTATGAGAAGTAGTATTTATATAGATCTTTCATTCGACATACTGTTTTTTTAAATCGGACCATTTCCCTTAATACAAGGGGGATTTAAAACATAAAAATGCATATAGAAAGTAGAACTTTTTCAACTTAACTTTTGAAAGTGTTCCGGAAGGTCTGACACTTTTATATATATCTTAAATTAAAGCTAATGTAATATACTTTATAATGGTAAAAAAAAATTTCGGACTTTATTTTATCTTCATGGTGAAAACAGACATTANTTTCGGACTTTATTTTATCTTCATGGTGAAAACAGACATCAAAGTTTATAAAAAAAATACAATTTTTGTAAAAAAATTCTTTTTTATATTTTTAACTTTATAATGCTATAACTTTTTTAAAGATGTATGGATCAATATAATTTTTTTTTTATAAATGTATAATGTCTTTACCTATCATTTGGTATATATTTTTTTTATATCTGACCCTTTACCTGCCCACAGGGGGGGATTTAAAATGGCAACTTTTTCACAAAAAATTAACTTTTTCAACTTAACTTTTGAAAATGTTCCGGAAGGTCTGACACTTTTATATATATCTTAAATTAAAGCTAATGTAATATACTTTATTATGGAAAAAAAAAATTTCGGACTTTATTTTATCTTCATGGTGAAAACAGACATCAAAGTTTATAAAAAAAATACGATTTTTGTAAAAAAATTCTTTTTTATATTTTTAACTTTATAATGCTATAACTTTTTGAAAGATGTATGGATCAATATAATTTTTTTTTTATAGATGCATGATGTCTTTACCTATCATTTGGTATATATTTTTTTTATATCTGACCCTTTACCTGCCCACAGGGGGGGATTTAAAATGACAACTTTTTCACAAAAAATTTACTTTTTCAACTTAAATTTTGAAAGTGTTCCGGAAAGTCTGACACTTTTATATATATCTTAAATTAAAGCTAATGTAATTTACTTTATTATGCGAAAAAAAAATTTCGGACTTTATTTTATCTTCACGGTGAAAATGGCTACCGAATGCTATTATTGTGTGAAAATTCTCGATTTTATTTTTTACATTTTTAACTTTATAATGCTATGACATATTGAAAAGTGTATGGATCAACATTATTTTTTTATGAGAAATAATATTTTTTAATAATCCCTTTTTCATTCGACATACTTTATCTTAATTAGGATATTAATAATGAACTAGCAGATCATGTAGCTTTTGGAATAATCCACCAATTTTTTAAAATTAAACACTATCTAAAGATTTGCATCGAAGCGTTTTTTTTTTATAGTGATTTTAATCACTGTCAGATATCATTATACTTGATCCATCTATACCACGTCACCACTGTGCCGCGACCCCCCTGTGCTGGGTTTTTAATTTTAGCGTCACTGGATAGTAATAAAATTTAATTTTTAGTAGCCTCATGACATTTGTATAAAAATACAATGTTTTTATTGAAATACAATATACTGAGTAGTTAACGAATTTAAATTAACATATTGAAATAAAAATAAAATGCCAATTTATTTAATAATTTTTACAAAAAATGAAAGTAAGTTCAAATAATGATTTTAATTAAAAATACAATAAATTAAATCTAGATAAAAATAATTCACTTATAAATACTTTGGTTCAACAAATAATTTTTTCTATCAGAACAAAATACATAAATATACATGAATTAAATATAGTCATTTAATATCTATTGTTTTAAATAACAAATAGGCATTTACATTATAATATAGTATATTAAAAAAATGGAAATGTTTTAATAAAAAAAAATTTAATACTCATTGCATGAGCTGAAAAATGAATTACGTAGTTGACTTTTCTTTATTAAATACACTATCCCAAAGGGAATACCATGCATTTTGAACATTTTTCAGATAAAGCTGAACTGTAGGGTTAGCTTTCACCCACTGATATGATTTTATTGATGCTTGAATACTTTTTTGTACAGCTACATCAAAGTGAGAACCAGCTTGTTGTAAGTAATAATTTACCTTCGAAGCTACTTGTGGATCCAAATTTGAAGTAACAGAATCCCAGAAAGGAACTATTTTAGCTTTAATATTACCATAAAGTTTCTTGTCGTAGTATGACAAGGTATAAAGAGTTAAACCACTCAATACAAAAAGAAGAAGCGTGTAAGAAATAAGTGAACAAACAAATCCAAATGCTAGAAATAAAAGTAAATTCATATTTATTTTTGATGAATCTTTATAAAAATTTGTTAAATTGTCTAAAGCATTTATAAGCTATCTTACATTTTGTAAATCAATTTGTTTGTTGTATACAAATTAATTGATTAATTTCACACAATATCTTTAAAAGAATATAACTCACTACAATTTTTTTTTTTTTAATTAATTAATAGTATATTGTTAAATAATTTTCAAAAAAAATATTTGTTCTATTCCCATGTCTCACCTCTTTAAAATAGTATTAACTTAAGTTTTTTTAATGGAAACATATATATTTAAAAGATTATTAAAAATTATGTAACTAGGAAAATAACTAGTTCTAATAAATTTTGAATGGCTATTTGATGAGGATGGCTTATGTGAGCACAGATGATGTGGAAGAATGTGTCAAGTGTCTTCTTCTTCTTCATCGCCTTAATCCCAACTACTTAGGGTCGACCACCTTTAGCCTAAACTTCCACTTGACATGATCTCCCACATCCTCTACGCTCACATCAGCTGTCCTCAAATTGCATTCAATAACATCTCTCCATCTCTTTTTGGTTTCCTCTACCTCTTCTTCCTTCAACATTAATTTCTACAGCTGTTCTTGCAGCTTCCATTTCTTCTCTCCTCATAACATGACCAAACCATCTAAATCTATTTTCTCTCATCTTATCCTCGATTGACGCTACACCTATACTCCCTCTTATATGCTCATTCCTTATTCTATCTTTTCTAGTCACTCCACTCATCCATCCAAGCATTTTCATCTCTGCTACACTCATTCTCTGCTCTACTTTCTTATCAACCGCCCAACACTCTGAACCAAACATCATAGCTGGCCTCACTACAGTCTTGTAGAATTTACCTTTCAGCTTCATTGGAATTCTTTTATCGTATAAGACGCCAGACGCTTCTCTCTACTTCAATCACCCGCACTTAATTCTGTGTCTTACATGCTCGTCAATACTTCCCTTTTTTGCACAACTGACCATAATTACTTAAAACTCTCTACCTATCTAATCACGTCCTTGCCTATTGTCACTGACCTCCTCATTTAACATACCTCGTGTTCTCCTTTGTCAAACTCGTACTCTATATACTCTGTCCTACTTCTACTTATTCTTAAACCCTTTTCTTTAAAAACTGATCTCCACACCTCTAACCTTTGATTAATATTCTCCCTATTTTCTTCTATTTACACAATATCGTCAGCAAACAACATGCACTACGGCACTTCTCCTTGTATTTCTCTAGTAATTTCATCCATCACTATAGGGAATAAGTAAGAGCTTAAAGCAGAACCTTGGTGCACTCCTAATCTTACCCAAAACCCTTCTATTACTCCTCCCACACTTTTTACCCTGGTACAAGTGCCATCATACACATCTTCTATTATATTAATGTACCTTTTCGGAACTCCTTTTCTCATTAATGCTCACTTTAAAACCTCTCTTGGTACTTTGTCATACGCTTTCTCCAAATCTATAAATACTATACACAGCTATTTCTACTTTTCCCTAAAATTTTCTATTAGTTGCCTCACACAAAATACTGGCTCCATTGTTGACTTACCAGTTATAAAACCAAACTGGTTTTTATATACCGCTGTCTCATTTCTTATTCTCTTATCTATTACCTTTTTCCAAATTTTCATTCTATGACTCATAAGCTTTATGCCTCTATAATTTTTACATTCCTGTATGTCATCTTTACCTTTAAATATCGGCACCACAATACTATTCCTCCATTCATTTGGAATTTTCCCTCTTAATAAGATTTCATTTAAAAGTTCCTTTAACCACCTTATGCCAACACAGCCTAATAGTTTCCATACTTTTACTGACACTTCATCTAGTCCTACTGCTTTATTCTTTTTCATTAATGCCACAGCCTTCCATACCTCTTTCTCACGTCTTAAATCTACCAGTCCCTCATTCCACGAGATATCCTCTAATGTCTCTTTTGGGTAATCCTCATTCAGTAATTTTTCAAAATACTCTTTCCACATTTTTTTCACATCATCACTTGAGAGTACCTTATTATCAACACTTTTTAAACACCTTATATAATGATAATCTTTATACCTTTTCTCTCTTACCTTTGAAAGTCTATAGATTTCTTTCTTGCCTTCCTTTGTTCCTAGCCTATTATACAACTCATCATACCTCTTAAACTTCTTCTTACTTACTGCATACTTGGCTTCTTTACACAAGTGTTTATACTCCATCCAGTTTTCTCTCATTTTGCTCTTCTGCCATACTTTGTATTGCTTTTTCTTACTTTCTATGATTTTTTTGAACGTCCTAATCCCACCACCAAGTTTCCTTGTTTCCTGTCATTTTACTCCTACTCTCACCAACAATCTCTTTTGCAGTATTCTTTACACAACTAGCAAATTTATTTCACATATCATTTATGTCTCCCTCGACATTCCACATCGTCCTCTCTTTTACCATCTTTACAAACTCTTTTTAATTTTCCCCTTTCAATTTTCAATACCGGATCTTCGATTTTTCCCACGTGTTTCTTCTATTTTTGTTTATTCTCTTTCTGGTACATCCATGCATAATTCAAAATTACTGGTTCAAAAGTTACAATCGATCAGTCAATTTCTAATTGGATTATTATTATATAAACTAGTTAAATATGAATTTCGAATTTAAAAAAATTAAGTTTGTATTACCTTTTGAAACAAAACCTGTTTTCTTTTTTGGCTTATATTTGCTTTTTGATTTATCATTTTGGACACCATTATGATGTGCTTTACCTTTTTTATCCTTTTTTTTAGTTTGTTTATCCTCTGTAATATTAATTTAAAATTTTTATGATTTCAATTAGAGATCAAAATTACCGAAAAATTCCAGAAATTTTTGAGAAAAGAAAACAATTTTTACCTGGCATCTAAGAAAAATTGGAAATTTATAAAAAATTGAAATGAATGTTTCAAAAACTGATAGCATAAATAAATACTGTTCTTCTAGGTTGGTTAGTGTAAAATAACCTTTTATTTTACATGATTACTAATATTATCATTGAGTATACTATACTCAATTATATAAAACTATCTATTAAATATACTATCTATACACAATGATAATATGAAAAAAGTTTAATAATTGATACCATAATACCTATAATGATCCTATTTGGGTTGTTTTATAAAAATTGAAGACCCAAAAAAGTTAAATGTAAATTTTGTTCGTCTATATTTGCATTTTCTAATGTAACAAGAATGAAAGAGCACATTGGTTTATTAAGAAGACGTTGTCCTAAAGGTTTACATTTTAAAAATCCTACCTAAATTTAGAAATGACAAAAAAAGCATCTTTATTGATCAGACAATTTCTTCATTGAAGAATGTGTTGATAATTCTACTAGTTCTATTAGCTTGGCACAAGAAGATAAATTAAAAGTAATCTATGATAAATTTGTTCAAAAAATATACTTGATGAAGATGTATTTTGGCCTTATGTTAACAGATTACTAACAATATTGTCTTCTACCTCAACCAGTATTAGAAAATGTGAATCGGAGAGTTCTAATCTTTCTAAAGGCCATGAAATTTGTTTCATTAATTGAGAAAGATGTTAGTGAAGGAATGGTAATTTCCCCTCTCACCACATCTGAAGAAAAAAGGTGTAATCTTTATTAATAAATAGAAAAAAATTTTGCTTATACCTAGTACATAGTTAATGCGATATGAGGACAGCTGATGTGAGCATTGAGGATGTGGGAGATCATGTCAAGTGGAAGTTTAGGATAAGGGTAGCTGACCCCAAGTAGTTGGGATTATAGCGAGGAAAAAGAATGAAAGAAAGACCTAATACATAGTGCTGCTAAATATTAGATCCTAGGTATAAAAGTATTAATTTAAATTCTTCTGAAGTATCTGATGCTATTAAGACTAATTCATGAATTAGCAACTGTTTAAAAATTAATCAGACTAGAATTTTAGCAAATTTAGCACAGTACCGAACAAATACAGGATTTTTTGACGTAAAGTTTAGTAGAATCAGCTGAACACTGTTTTCCTGATATTTGGTGGAAAGGACTAACAACCAATAACCACTATTTCCAGTTGCCTCCAGGTTACTAAGTTTACCAGCATCATGTGGGAGAAATTGGTCTGCTTTTGGCAAAATACACACTAAATCTAGAAATAGACTTAAAGTGAATAGGGTACAGAGACTAGTAGCAATTAGACTAATCTCATCATACTTCAAGAAACTATTCAAGCGAAAAAAAAATAAAAGTCGAACATATTCAAGTTATTGATAATAATATTAAGCAAAATAATATTAGTATTAATTCAGTATCTACTGATTACAGACTCTGGAGATGATTATCAGTTGCAATTGCAGTATTAGCTCAACAATTAAATTTTGTTTTAATAATTCATGTTATTTAAAAAATAGTAGTAATACTAACAAAATATTGTAAGCTAATATTGCAATTACAACTGGAAATAATTAGAATCATAATTTACATTATTTAATTATGTAAAAGTATGTTCCTATTTTTTTTTTTACTTTAATAAAAAAACTGTTTTTATCTGGATTTCAATTTTTTGGAAATTTTGGATCTCTAATTTCAATACAAATACAAAGTTATGAAAATGTAGATATATATTATTTAAAAAAAATTCATTTACCTTGCTTCTTAATATTATCTTTATCGCCTTTAAAATATAAAATTATATTAGCTGCTGCAGCTTGACATTGTGAATTATTTTGAGTTGAACCAACCACATCAACCAATTCAGATTTCAAAGGGTTATTATTAAGATTTAAATATTTCAATGATTTTAATTTGCTAATTCCTTTAGGAAGATCTTTTATCTTATTATTGGCTAATGATAGATGATTAAGTTTTTGCATGGAAGCAATATCAGCAGAAATTGATTTAATTTGATTGTTTGATAAATCAAGTTTTGTAACACTGGCCAAATGTGAGAACAAGTTCTAAAAATAAAATTCTATATTTAGAAAAAAATTAATGTGAAAGTGGCTTAAATATGATAAGGATTAGAATTAGCTGCCTTCAAAATTAAAAAAATTACATTAATTATTATATAAAAATATTTTAAAGTGGGAATATACATGGTTATTTTTTTATCTACCCAATTAATAACTCACAGAATAGAAATATGTAAACATTTTCTTTTTTTGTTTACCTTTTGTTATATATTATTCTTGAATTGTTAACTATGTAATACTTTTTAATTTTATCCCTTGTCTTGAAAGGGTGTCAGATTAATTTTTTTAAATTGGAACACACATTTTGAATTTAATAAAATGTTTTAATTTAATATAAATGGCATTTGAATTTTTAACATAACTTTATTTAGTATATTAGATAAAAGTTTAAAGTCTCAAATTTTTGAGTAAATATACATATATAATATACAATTGATTACAAATACAAGTAGATAATTATTTTTTTATGATGTCCAATTCATGTAGCTATTTGTATTCAATTGTTAATTATGACTAAATAGTTATGCTTATCGTAAGACACATTGTTGTGAATTAATATTTACAAGTACACCAACTGGCAATACAAAAAACATATTTGTCGATAGTCACAATTGACAATAAATGCTCTGTATCTGTGATATCTATATCATAAAAACCAATTAGCTACCTATATTGTAAACCATCCTATATCATACATCCTTATATTAACTTTAATTCAAATTTGAAACTTCAAGTTTTATATCAAATAAACAAATAAAACTATCGTAAAAATTCAAAAGTCATTTACTTACTATGTGTTCCCATATGAAAAAATGAAGTTGACATCCTTATAAAGCATAAAGAATAAACATAAAAAGTATTACATAGCTAATAATTCAAGAATAATATGTAACTAGGTATCCAAAAAAATTAATTTAAAATTTTTTTTTTTTTATGAGTATTGGGTTATGATAAAAATCACCTATATATAGCCTTTACAAAAAAAGAAATCTCTAGTTGCACCTGTAGGGATTAAACATTCCTACGCTATTTAAACTACTAATAAAATAACAAATAATTGATTGACAATTCCTATATGTAATTTCTGTTTTATATAATTTATGCATTAAACATCATTAAAAATATATTTATTATTATTGTTTGAATACATAGAACCGGTATGTAACAGTATGATATACACCAATTCAAGCTGTGCCCTTCTATGTTACAAACTCTGTTTAAAGATAAAAACAGGTTAAGAAAAAAAATGACCTTTAAATTCAATAACCATGCAATTCTTAATTGATATCAATATACTTTACTGATAAAAATAAAATATTCAGTGATAATATTTAAAACAAGTATCTATATTTCAATGTACCTTTTTTGGAAATTTTGATGATTAACCATATTTTTGTGGAAACTTATAATTAATGTTAAATTTTTTTTTAAATTTTTGATAATGTTCTAAAAAACCTACCATCTTCAAACCTAAATAAAAAAATAGTAATACATTGTATTAAATATAATACAATATACTTTAAGATAAAAAAGAAAAACTATCTGATAACTCAATTTCTAGAAGTTATTGTTTATTGAAGCAAATGATCATTTAGTTTTCAGAAAAAATTTCCAACTTTATAACATTTTGTACAATAACGGAATATTTACTTTTTTATCACTTATAAGCAAAAAATAAAAAAGTTTTAATTTAACATTAAGAGGGATAAGAATTGAAAATGCTATTAACATTAGCAATTTTAGTAAATTAATAACACCTAAAAATACAATAATTTTGCTTAGAATATAATTATAGAAATTAACTTGCTACTAGATAAAACTGAACAAATTTTTTTTCCAAAGGGGTAAGCTTTACATTAACAACAAATAGTTCAAATTTATAGCTTACTAAATCTTTCAATTTCAATTTAATAAGCTCTGTATTTGTAAAACCATTGGATATATTTATTTTAAGAATGCTTATACTATTTAATGTAATTCTATTCATATGTTTTTAATTGAAAATTAATAGTAAACCAATCAATAGTTAAAACATTTTTTTTTAAAGTGATTATTTAGAGGTCAACTTACAAATCTTGATATTTGCAACATAAATTAATGAGTGTATATAAATAAGATATTACATAAAAAGTCACAAAATTATGAAAAATAAACTATGTATAAAAAAAAAATACAAAAAAGAAATATCTGTAACATGGAGTAGGTAAAAATGTATAAGACATAAACAAGAATTTTTCATTTAATAATAATAGGTTGATCACCCTTAATAGATATTTAATAGTTTTTGATACATACATCTGTAGATGTTATTTTGTTGTTAGACAAGTCAAGCGATGTGATTTTATATTGTGCCTGAAAATAATAAAACAAAGTTATTACAACTTTAATTTATTCACTCATAAAAACAAAATTTAGACCTAAACCTTATACATTATAAGAGATTTGCATTCCTAACATAAAATTGTTTTATCTAAAATTATTTGTTAAACTTAAGAGAAAACAATTTATGCAATTTATTTTTATTTATTCAAATTTTGTTATCAATATTATTGATTATTATGTTTATAATATTTTGACATCCGCTAATTAACATCATTCATTTAAGGGTTAGTAACATAGAACAATTATGCCCAAAAAAAGTTCCACTTGAGACAATCGCTCATATAACAACATTATCATTACACAATAAGTACCATAAAACCATAATTTAATTTAAATTATGGTTCAATTGTGTTCAAATCAAGGCATAAATTAAATTATTGAAATAAACCCTATTTTTTGAGGTTACAGTCAAAAAGTACAAGATTAAAAAAATTAATTGAATATAATTCCATGATATACTTAATTATTAATCATAATAAAGCAAATTTATTTTACTGTTAGTAGTTTTAAAATCTTAGCAGAATAGCGTAATTACTTATAGGTTAAGATGATAGTCATTAAAAAATTGAAATAAGTAAAATGTTTAACATAATTTATTTAATATTGAGTACACTAGACACTATAGCAAGTCAGAATTTCAATGAAAAAATCAAAAGATAATTTTAAAACGAAAAAATACATACGTATTTAATGTAAATACGTACTGTCGGCCTGGAATCTAAGGACGAAAAAAATTTTGCTCAAGGATTTCGGAAGCAATTTCCTTAGAGGTCCGCAAGTAAAAAAAAAAAGCACTTCAACATAACGCGGATACAAAATAAGTGAGGTCTCGAGTGCATTCGTGCCCTAACCTCTTGGGTCAAGTCTGAATACGTATACTTACTATTTCTTTAATAGGTATTTCTGTTATATTACAACCGCTTAAATTTAACTTGTTGTTCTTAATTTTATCTTTAATATTTAAAACTGTCATTTTTTATTATGTACGTGTACCACGGGATTACAAAATATAAACTAAATATTAAAAAAAAAACAGTATGGAGTTTAGAGTACGATGCAGATATCCTTAATAGCAGTCAAAATTGAATTGTGGAAGTAACAATCTAATAGTAAATAGTTTGATTTTTCAATACACGTATATCAGTGTTGGATGACACGTGTCAAGATTGCCAACATTGCGATTACATATCAATTTATATTGTATTATAAGCATCATCAGCTACATTTTTCTACAAATAAAAAACGACACCAAGTCCTACAATATTTAAATCAATATAATATAAAATTTCAATAAACATTGAAATAATTTAAGTTGTACTAATTAGTAGCTACTACCAATATTTTCAAGTAACGCATGTCATTGACTTAGTAAACATTTCTGTTATTACTAAGAATATTGACTTTTATTTTATCTATGTACTTTTGAAGTCGTATCTCTCGATAAAGAGGTCAACCAATTTAATTACTCATTTACACTCGCATTTCTGTACCACAGAATCTGAGATACAAAAATGATCTATAACTTATAAATCAAATATTAGGAATAGAAAATGTGTTTTGTTATTTAGATATTTTTATTATTGAGGAAAGTGAGGAAAAGGATAAAAGAATATTGGAAATAATATTAAAAATGACTAAATAATTATAATGTTCAGATTAATATAAATAAGTTTAATTTTTTTGAAAATAGTATAAATTATTTAGGCTATACGTTATCAGAAAATCCTAATTCAATCATAAATCTTCATCCTAAAAACTTATCTAGGGTTATTAAATTATTATGATAGATTCGTACCTAATCTAAGTAGTGAATTGAAAAATTTGTATAATTTAATAAGAATTATAAAAAAACCCAGCACAGGGGGTACGTGGCATAGTTGGATCAAGTATAATGATATCTGATGGTGATTAAAATCACTATCNCAGTGGTTACGTGGCATAGTTGGATCAAGTATAATGATATCTGATGGTGATTAAAATCACTATCATAAAAAACGCTTCGATGCAAATCTTTAGTGTTTAATTTTAAAAATTCGTGGATTATTCCAAAAACTACATGATCTGCTATTTCCTTATTTATATCCTGAATGAAAAAGGGATTATTAAAAATTATTATTTCTCATAAAAAAATTGTGTTGATCCATACAGTTTTCAATAAGTTATAACATTATAAAGTTAAAAATGTAAAATATAATATCGAGAATTTTCACACAAAAATAGCATTCGGTAGCCATTTTCACCACGAAAAAAGTCCAGAAGTTAAATTTTTTTTTCCATAATAAAGTACATTACATTAGCTTCAATTTAAGTTATATATAAAAGTGTCAGACCTTCCGGAACACTTTCAAAAGTTAAGTTGAAAAAGTTCTACTTTATATATGCATTTTTTAGATTTCAAGCCCCCCGTATATAGGGAAATGGTCTGACTTAAAAAAAAATGTCAAATGAAAGATGTGTATAAATACTACTTTTCATAAAAAAATTGTATTGATCCATACATTTTTTAAAAATGTATAGCATTTTAAAGTAAAAAATGTAAAATATAATATCGAGAATTTTCACACAAAAATAGCATTCGGTAGCCATTTTCACCACGAAAAAAGTCCAGAAGTTAAATTTTTTTTTCCATAATAAAGTACATTACATTAGCTTTAATTTAAGATATATATTAAAGTGTCAGACCTTCCGGAATACTTTATTTTTTTTAATTAAGTTGAAACAGTTAATTTTTTGTAAAAAAGTTGTCATTTTAAATCCCCCCCTGTGGGCAGGTAAGGGTTAAATTTATGAAAAAAATATACCAAATGATAGGTAAAGACATCAAGCATCTATAAAATAAAAAAATATATTGATATGTTCATTTTTGAAAAAGTTTTTAGTAAAAAAAATTGAAAAAATTTCGAAAATCAGCGATTTTTATTTTGTAATTTTTTTGGAGGTTTCCCTCATTTACGGGGAACGAGGGAAATTTTTTCAATTTTTGAGGGTAATGTCTTCGACTAGATACAATTTGTGATCTTTTGACGTATCATTGAAAGAAATCGGTTCGGTGAGAGCTGAGAAAAAGTGGTAACAGACAAAAAAAAAAATAAATAAATAAATAAAAAAACACATTATAGTAAAACTAATACCTTCTCATCTTCGCATCGAACCTAAAATTATAAGGTCAGGAAACAGAAAAGCATGGCACATGCTGGTGCATTGTCAAGATTATCTTAATATACCCAAAGTATTACAAGGTAAGATATCTAATTTTCTAGATAGTTTAATTTCGATTCAAATCAAATCTTCTATATTTTGATTAAAATTATTATAAGAAAAGTAGGACCTAAATTCATAAAATATGAATTTACTCAGGTTCCATGCTCATTATATATATTAAAATTCTAAAGTTGTTATGGAACCAACAAAATTTTTTTGTAAGAAAAAGGCTAAAAATATGGCTATTTTGTAATTTTGTAAGAATAAAGGTTATCTTAACAGCATATTAATAAATAGAATATAATTCTTTATCATATCTCAAAAATTGTCAACGTTTTCTATCTTAGTTATAATACTAATAATAATAAATATATTTATTTCGTCCTCGTTTAAACTCACTTATAATAACGGTAGCTCAGTACGTTACCGTTTTTTTAAATAATTACTATCTTCTCTTTCATTACTTTTGAAGCACATTTTTTATAATAATCACTAATAAGAAATTAAATAAAAACTTTTTATTCTTTCAAAATTACAAAATAGCCATATTTTTGCCTTTTTTCTTACAAACAATTTTTGTTGGTTCAATAACACCTTTAAAATAAGTACTAATTGACTGACGAGCATTTTAATACGTATAATGGGCATGGAACGCAAGCAAATTCATATTATGAATTTTGAAGAGAATTGAAAAAAAATGTTAAAAAATCTAACTTTTTTCTTTGGATCATTTCTGTAATGTAAAAGATAATTAAAAAACTATTTCCTCAGAACATCAAGGTAAAATACCTGTACTTAGTAGTAAGAATTGTTTCATTAAATATTCTTTCAAAAAATATAATTATGAAAACGGTAGAACAGTGGCGTCGCGGCAAAATGTGGACGTAGCATAATTGGGACAAATATAAAAGATATCTGACAATGATTAAAACCACTATAATAAGAAACGCTTCGATGGAAAACTGTATATAGTGTTTAATTTTAGAAAATTGTTGGATAACCAAAAGCAACAAAAACTCCTATTTCCTTATTTATAGCCCGATTACAAGTTTTATGATTTATAATTGTAATATATGAATAAGTATTTATTATAGCAATTAAATATAATATGAAATTGATATTAAATAATTTAGTATTAAAATGTTTATGGAGAAAGTATAAAGTAGTTATAAATTTTGTTGGTTCAATAATAACTTTAGAATGAGTACTCATTGACTCACAAGCATTTTAAAACGTATAATGGGTATGGAACGCGCGTGGAGTATACGCACTTAACATGAGCTGTAACCACACCATATACTACATGTCCATTCTATGTATTAAAATGTTTGTAACTCAATAAACTCAATCTCAAAATTGTTATCGATCTATCATAATTTTTATAAGCGATAAAAATAATTTTTTAAAAATAAAAAATAAATTTTTTAGTTTTGATACGAACCTGAAAGGTATTAATTTTACTGATGCATTTTTTGAAAATCTGACTCTACCTGCACACAGGAGGGTTTTGAATTGGCGTTTTTTGAATGAAAAATTTACTTTTTCAACATATGTTTCGAAATTACTCTGAGCTTCAATCATATGTTATAATAAAACTTGTATTGTCCCGGACAACTCATCTTTATGCACAAATGGCTGTCATACTTNTGTGTTGTCCCGGACAACTCATCTTTATGCACAAATGGCTGTCATACTTTAAAAAACATACTATTTTTATTAAAAAAATTTTTTATTTGAATTCAACTTTGAGATTATGAGGGTTTTTGAATTTAGGTCCTACTTTCCTTATAATAATTTTAATCAAAATTTAGAAGATTTGAATCGGAATTAAACTATTTAGAAAATTGATATATATATATATATAATATATATATATATTTAGAGTGAATCAAAAAATAAATTTTATTTTTGATATGAAAAGTAAGTAAAAGTGAGTTACTGTCATATTTGTTACACATATCGTTCTATACTTGTCTCAACTATGCCACGTTCTCGCTGTGCTAGGTTTACATCTTTTTAGTGATAAATAATAAAAAATATGCCTCAAAAGGTAATAATTATTAAAAACAAAATGATAATTGTTTCATAAGTTATAAGCGTTGTCAATTAGGTCTGGAACACCTAAATATTTACATTTACAGTTAAACTTCTGAATATAAGGATCAATTAATTATTTGACATTTTGTTTATAATTGTTAATCGAATCTAACGCTGCACAAAAATAGTTGATTAAAATAATTTATTTATTTATTAATATTATTATTTTAAATAATAAATATGTATTAAATTCATTCATTCAAAATACTTCTGATATAGAGTAGCGACATCTTTTGAAATTTAATAATATTAGTATAAAACGAAACCTCTTTGGTATTTTCTATAATACAGTTTGAACGCCTGCCCTAACTCTGTTGTTTAGTTTTTTATTGTTTTGATGTTTCCGTCATGGCGCGACTATCATCGTTATTGTGAGTGATTTTAAGATTAATTAATGAAATCTAAATTCTTGGAAATCTGTGCTTACGAACTTGAAGTTTTATAATTGTATATACTTTTACTCGCACATATTTCAGTTTGATGAAGCCATGAGTATTTGATATATAATATTTTATTGATCATCGTTTGAATAATACCTAGACGTCGCCCACCAACTTGTTTCTGTTACTTTGGAATTTTTTATTCATTTGATAATAGAAGTAACCGTTTAGCTTATATTTGAATTACGGTAAGTCCGTTGTAAACTCACACATGCTGAATTAGTACGCGCGCAAAAATTCCCCTCCTTGGCTTTTTTGCTGTCCGTCATTTTTGCTTGCTCCTCAATGCCTCTCCGCCATCACTATGGTTGTCATTAGTCAATGTTCTGATAGCGGGAATAGCAATTAACTCCTTATTAAATTGCGATTTATTTACTACGTTCTGCTATATAGCATTAATGGCGCGCGAGTCTTAATTTGATTTTGGTTATAATAAATATAAGTCTATTTACACTAAATTTCAAGGCGTCTATGGTTTGGCCGCCATATCAGCCCAATTGACCGGGCAATCGTTTTCTCAATAACGACACCATTGACATGAACCACGCTGTCGCCATGACCTTTCAAGAAAATAAAAGATCATTGTTCTTGGGATCTTTCGTCCAAGGTAAATATTATATTTTATTTAGAGTTATTTATAGAAAATTAGGCAAACACATTAAATGTTACGCAATTTTTGGGCTTAGTGAACATGAAATAATTTTTTTTTTTAAATCTTAAAAATTAATTTAAATTTATGGTTGTTATAAGTTTAGAAAACTTTGAAAAGTGAGGTCATTTTAAAATGACTATTTATTTCCTATATCATTATATAATGGTATAGGAAATCTTAGAAATGTTTTTATGATTTTGCTTGTAATTTAAATGAAAATTTAATAAACTTATCATATTTTGACTATGTAAAGGTAGGGTTGAGGGTTAAAATCATATTTCATTTAATTATTATTACTCTATCTATAGTATTTTCTCTGGAAAGGTATTATTGTATTAGAGAAGAAACGAAAACCTCTACAGACTAGCACAGTAGAATCAATTTGGTACTTGTATACCAAGACGCGATACATTCTGACCTATTCACAACTTCATCTAAGTAGGCTGCCCTGCACACAATGGACCAACAGGTCTAGGTGCATGGGCATTATGTCCAGATCTATAATAACTAAAATTAAGCTAAGTAGGCTGCCTAAATATAATATAGTATAATTAAATTATATAAAAAATATTTAGGGGTAATGTATACAAATCACCTTATAAATTTATACTTATACCTTTGTGTTAGGAAGGAGTAGATAAGATGTATTTTTAAGATTATACTCCTACTTAAATTCCAAATGGTAAACAAACTATAAAAATAATGGGAAGGTTTATGAATTCACACATCCCCTACATATTTAATGTATGCCTTGCTCCTTGAACCATCAAGTATGGAATTTTTTTAAAAATGAACAGAAAATCATGAAATTTGAAAATTTTTAAATTGTGGTAACCATGAATAGGTTATCAACGTATCTGAAAGGAATTTTTTAAATCCCTCTTAGTATGTTCTTGGTTAAGTGTTGTACTAAATAATTAAAATCATTCATACGAAAAAGTTTATAGTTAACAATATGAATGTGTATTACTTCAATAAGGTTTTCAAACTTCTCATAATAATAATATGTTAAATATAAAGATTTCAACATTTTTATCACTTATTTAAGTAACAACAAAATGTTGAAAAATTAATTTTTGAGTTCATTATGTGGTGTTTTATAGACTTATAATCATTTTTGTAAAGTGAAAAAATAAGTTGAAATTTTTAATGGTCAAAAAGTTTAAAAGTTTTATATTACTGTATTGGATAAACATATTCAATATTGGATGATAAAACTAGGTGTGAACTTATAGTAGTTGGTTATGTATTTATTTATTGTAGGAATTTTAGATTTTTCAAATGTTTATCCTTAAATCAATGTAGGGTAATATTTCTTTCTTAACTTTGTGTATCCATCAAATATTTTATTTAAGCCATCTTGGTTATAAAAGATATTTAAAAATACATTTTTACTGTTTTCTAACAGTTTGAATATATCAAATTATATCTTTTTTTGATGACCCAGTTAATTGTTTTCTTGGTTATGGCACACATGTTTATTTAATTTGTACATCATGTATAATATGCTGAAAAACTATCTTCTAAAATTAGGTTGCTTTTGAACAAATTTTTTCAATATTTCTGATAATCAGTTATAATTAAAATATAATTTGATGTTTCCTTAGCAATACACTTCACTTTTTTCTCAATATTATAAACATGGGTTCTATCTATCATTAGCTCAAAGTTAGCAAATTATAATATAAATTATTACAATTTTTATTTTTTCACTAAGATACATGTTACTATGATATATTAAATTTTAATTTATAATGAATGTATAGTATTTCTTTATGTATTTTGTTTTGTTATTTGGTTGTTATGTTTTAAACATAGTGTGTAAAATGTCAAAATTTACATCATTCTTATGGGAAATATTAAATGCTTTTAACTGTTAACTTATATTTTTTTAATAATCCTGAATATTTATTTTAATAAAGAAGTTATCATATCACTATTATTTTTGGAAAAAATTTGTGTTCATTGACAATTTTAAGTTTAATTGTTATATTAATTGTAAGGTTGTTATAAATAATTGATAAAGCAATTTCTCTTAATAAAAAATATTTTCTCATTAGACCATTACTGATTTAAATATGCACTAATTATTTCTAGTGACAAAATGAATAGCAGATTCATCTAATAAAGCTTTATTTTGGTGATTTGTCTTGAAAATAAAAATTTGAAAAAAATCTTAATTCATTTGTTTTTAAAATTTACTATTGTTATTTTATAATTTCACCATTAGTAAGATTTAAATTTTGTAGCATTTTCAATATTTTTTCTAATCAAAAATGAGTTGTGTTTTCCTTTAATATAACATTTTTTGATGTTATGCTATACTTGAAAAAAAATGTTTGAGTTATATAATTTAATTTCTCTCTTAAAATATTTCTATTTAAAATTTTTTTAAACTTTGGTAACTAAACCTCATTTAGATAGATCTCCCAAATTTAAATCAGTTTTCTTCTAGGGATTTAAAAAAAGTGTATTGGAAGTATCATGTCATGATTTATAAATCTAAACATTTTATATTTGACAATTTTAAAGTGTAGAATGAGAGAAAAGGCACAGTTGTATAAAAATGTTAATAAATGAAAAAGAAATAAAAGTTATTTAAAACATATATGTAATTAATAAAACTAAAATATTTTTTTTTAATACTGTATATATTTTGTGAAAAATTGAATATGGTTAACATATTACTTTGTACAGTTGTGAACTGATATTAAAATTATAACGACTTTATTTGTGTAAATAAATAATAATATTAGTTATTTTATTTATTTAAATGGTAGTAGATTTGAATGTACTACCACTTATGTTTCTCTCATGGAGAAAAAAGCTCAAGTGCAATCATATTTGATAAAGCCATTTGTGGATTTATGGGGGCCTCAGGAGGTTAAGACCCCTGAATACTTATTAGCAATTTTTAATTATTTTGTTAATTGCTTGAAAAGTATTGATTATAGGATTGTGTTACCTATTACTATATATAAGTATCTAGTTAATTATGACCTATTTTTAGTTAGGTTTCATTCAGGTAACCAGTTTTTTTTTTAAAGGCCAGTTCCTCCTAATCTATCTTACTAAAAAAATATAAAAAGAGTTACTAAAATTATTTTCAAGTATCAATTTTCCCTCAATAGGAAAAACTTTGTACACCGCCATCAAGTTTACTTATATTACAGAGATTTATTTAGAGTTTTGACATACCGTGTAAAATTTTAATACCGCCCCTACGTACTCCCTCTTGTTTTATATTTGATATAGTTATGAAAAAACGATGCCGACAGAGGCGATGATACCCACTGAACCACAATATATGTTTCTGATATACTACTTAATTATTGTCAGTAGACTTATTTTTTAATTCTATTAAGAATAAGTTTGGTTCATATGTCATATTCGTTCGCTAATACTTTTTACTCATCATATTTTTTTTTAGTTTATTCATCAGAATATTTTAGAGTTAAATTCTTAAATTGTCATTAAATTACAAGATTTGTTAGAAAATCATAAAATACACATATGGTATAAGTTATATGAATATAAAATTATCGTGATACTCTGACCAATGATTTAAATTTTTACTACTTCGTGAAAATATAATACTGAAACGTGTGTATTGTTTACTTCCATGTTTGTCTTTCCATTGGTCTATAGAGGTCCGACAAAATACTTCGTCGCTTTTGTGTACTGTTCATTTCAGTAATCAAAACCGGTTTTATGTCGATAAATTCTTGGCATTCATTTCCCTTGTTTACCTGCTTCAGCGTTCATACTAGTAATATCAGGGTAGCAAAGGATCATCTTGAGATTTTTTTGTGGAAATATACTTAATGTTCATGTTAGGGTATATGAATTTTTAAAGTGTTAACGGTTATCGCAATTTTTACATTAAAATGACTGTTCTTATCAATAACAGGTTTTTACATATTTGATCGTCTGCCCTTGTTTACGGTTGGTTCCATGTGAACAACACGTGGTTTGTTTTATCATCAGTGCCTCCGTCAACATACAATGCGCGCGCTCGTGACTTACAGCGATCAATGAACCAAGCCCGATTACATTCTCCAGACTTGTAAAAATTGTTTTTGAATCGAAGGGACGCAGTTTTTAAGATGAACCGAATGAATTATAAAAAAACATCGAAAATAAATATATTAATGACTTGATTTTGTATAACTTGTAGGAAATTCTATATGTTAGGAATCCATTTTTTAGAGAAAATATCAACTTTATAAGGTTGGATTACAGCTTGATCATAAAAAATGCTTTTAATTTACTAAAAAAAATATAGGAGAAAGTAATTACTATTGATTTACCCTCCGCCACTAATAGCCAATTGTTGGTTTTGTTATTATTTCAATATGCAGTGAACACGTTAATTAAGAAACTATTAAAAAAAATTTTTTTTCTAATTTGTTTAAACTTCACTTAACAAGATTTCTAAAGTTAATATCATGGTTCGTAAGTTCACACACTATAAAACTTAAGAAAAAGAAAGCATGCAAATGTTCATAAAAAAACTGGTAAAGTATACATTAAAAACGTTTAGTGGTCTATTTTTTACATATAATTTTATCTCTGAAAAGTAATTTTTTTATAACAAAGCAAATAATTTTGCGAAATGTTTGGTGGGCTTATTTGTAAACTGAGGAGGGTTTAATCTAATAGGTCCATTATTCGACGCCTATGACTAAAAATCTAGAATAAAAATATTAAAAAAATATTGATTTTTATCTTTAAAATGCAAAATTTATTTATTTATATATTTATGGAATAGTTATTAGTTAAATGGTCATCTCTATCTTCCAAGGATACGTTTATTAAATTTTTGATGCTATTATTACTCATAAATCGACAAGCTATTAAGATGGAACTAGAAAATCCAATCAAACCTGTAGTAAATATATTCTTTGGTGTTTAAAAAAATTTCGATGTCTTATTCAGTTATTTGTCAATTTTATCATCTTAAAAGACCGTACTTTATTTTTCTTTTTTTTTTATAAACAACGATGATTCAAGTTAGTGTGTGTTGCGTACGTCTTTCTGGTCAAACACTACAAGTGATTTTATCATTTTTAGTGACGATGACTCGAGACTTAAGGCGTTGAAAAATTAAATTTATTCATTTACGGAGAAATACTTTTGAATATTGGTCAATTTATCACTTTATTTCGTCAAAATAATAAATAGTTTGAGTTGATTCTAATCTCATTTTTCATCCGTACGAGACATATAAAGGCTAATAATGAACGCTCGTAATCAAATATTAAAATATAAATTGATATTTATTATTTAATATGGCAAAAACAATTGAAAAAAAAATCTTTTGATACTTATCTGAGATGATACATTTTATTTTTAACTGGATAATAATTGCATAAATAACTCACAATTAATTTTTAAGTTATCCTTAAGCCTTTATTTAAATATTCTAAGTGCAACTTTACTCATATGAACTAACCATTAATATGACCCTAAATATTTTTATACACAAAAGTATTATCATATAGTTATTATTTCAAATATTACAAATTAAAACATTTTAAAGCCTATAAAATAAAAGATAAAATTTTTATTGATATTCCAACGGTATTAAATTCTAATCTTTGCAGTCGGAGCTGGTATTGAAAGACTTATGATACAAAATAACGAAGGAGCTGGCGATGAAGAATCTATAGAAATATTTGATTTTGCTGGTGTTCAGCAAAACGACCACTTGCCTAGTGAAACTGTTCAACAAATGTATAACGCATCTGCTGAAGAAATAAGGTAAATTGAATAAAAAAAATCAATTATTATTTTTTAATTTTACATTTAGTAATATATTAATATAAGGTTTCTTCTTGTAATTTTTTTTTATATTCTTTATAATCTTAGTATGTTTTAACTACTAGTATATAACAGGCAAAAATAGAAGTTTTCATTTTACTGTATAAGACCCTCTGACGGTCGCGTTTTAACCACCTGGCTTTTTCTATCCAAGGGTCGCGAGGCTAATATTGAAAAAAAAGTACAGAGCAGCTGTTTTAACCCCTCCTTTAAAGACAACTACCATATGTATATATTTATTTAGATATTGTTTTATTAATTTAGTCCGCATGGATCGCTAACTTATAGGTTCGTATTTAGAGACGCTCTATGTCTGTGGCATCACCACATGGTGATTCATTCGTTGCTAAGTCGATCTAAATTTAACCACACCAAATTTGTGCCAACTGACTAATGTCGATGCCAGACAGTAAAATGTTCTGTACCTTTATTCAGAGCTAAAATAAAATGGCAGATTTCTTTGTGCCAACGTTATATACCGACAGTTCATCCCACGAGATATTAAAATAAGATCTAAAAAACAATATTGTAAAGTGATAAATTATTCTAGTGATAATTTTATTATGGTAGTAATTTATTTTTTTAAATCTGTCTGTCGAAACCCCAATATTTAACCGGAACTAAAATACATTTATTTTTATGTTTTCCTATTTGTTAAAAATATTTAAAAGAAGAAATAAAACATACTCAAAAATTGAAAAACAGTTGTTCTATAATTATGATTATTAATAATTTAATGTTTTATCGATAAATTTTGTACAAATTAAAAGCTTAAATATAATATGCATATTATTCTAGAATACTATTGTTCCAATAGCACCATTTAAACAAATTAAATGGTAGTATTCAGAGACTATTTAAGCAGAATTAATATTTTATATACATATCAATATAATTTTTTTTTATAGATGCTTGATATCTTTATCTATCCTTTCGTATATATTTTTTTGTAAATCTGACACTTAACCTGCCCACAGGTGGGGATTTAAAATGACAACTTTTTCAACTTAACTTTTGAAAATGTTCCGGAAGGTCTGACACTTTTATATATATCTTAAATTAAAGCTAATGTAATGTACTTTATTATAAAAAAAAAAAAAATTGACCTCTGGACTTGTCTTCGTGGTGAAAATGGTTACCAAATGCTATTTTTGTGTGAAAATTCTCGATTTTATTTTTTACATTTTTGACTTTATAATGCTATAACTTATTGAATAGTGTATGGAAAACACAATTTTTTTATGAGAAATAATATTTTTTAATAATCCCTTTTTCATTCGACATACTTTATCTTAATCAGGATATTAATAAGGAACTAGCAGATCATGTAGCTTTTGGAATAATACACCAATTTTTTAAAATTAAACACTATCTAAAGATATGCATCGAAGCGTTTTATTTTGATAGTGATTTTAATCACTGTCAGATATCATTATACTTGATCCAACTATGCCACGTCACCACCTTGCTGCGACCCCCCTGTGCTGGGTTTTTTTTCTTTAAACTTTAATAACTTTTTCAAAAATCAACAAACCAACATAATTTTTTTTTATATTAAAACCTTAGATATTTTCCTTTCATTTGATACATTTTTTTTAAAAATCTAACACTTATTCAATTCACAGGGGGGGTTTAAAAAAGCAACTTTTTCAACTTAACTTTTGAAAATGTTCCGGAAATATTCACAGTTTTATATAATCTTAAATTAAAGCTTATATTATATACTTTACTATAAAAAAAATTCGAAATATACATTTTATTCTTGGTGAAAATGGTTACCGTATTAAAAAAATATGCTATTTTTGTGTTAAAATTCTGGGTTTTGTATTTTATTTTATTTTAAAATATCTTACAAGAGGTATATACTGTTTTTCATGATATTATATAATTTAATTGACATAAAATAAAGTTCATAAGGCATAAGAAATTAAACTTATTAAAATATTTTTACTTTTTTAAAGTCGAAAAAATAATTTTTAAATTGCTAATTTTATTATGCGACGAAAGCAACGGACAGTTGCCGAATCGGTAACACATATGTCTTTCACGCTTAAGGTATGAGGTTCAAATCCGCCTGTGGTAATTAATATTTTGCATTTTTTTTAAGTTAGAAAAAAATTTTCAAATCATTTGATTTTTGTCTCATTTAGATTTAATAACTTCAATAAATATCAAGGATTCCATCACTACAGTCTCTCCTCGTGAGAAGCAATTTCTTATTCATGTTACTATGTGTTTTTTTTTTTGTGGCTACAATTTATTTTGCCAACCCTCACTTGACCTACTTTTTTCAACGATACGTCAAATGATTACAATTCGTATTTAGTAAAAGATGATATTATCCTCAAAAATTGAAAAAAAATCCCTTAATAAAAAATAAGTAGCTTAACCAGCTTTATCCATACAAATAATTAAAATTATTCTTTTCTAATATTTTTAAAGTATTTATTGTCGAATTAAATTTGATATGATAAAAGTATTCAACTACAAAAGTAAATAATTTTACTTTGTAATTTATTAATTTTTTAACTCTATTTGTGTGTGCTACTACCAGTCTATAATATTCCATATTTTTTGTAACTATATATAAGCTATATAAATCATAAATTTAAAAAAAAAAAATGATTTTAGTTTCACCTGAATTTAACGATGGATTTTTACAATTATAATCAAATTTTATAATACCTCAATTGAGTAAATCTTTTTAACAACATTTTTATTATTGGTTATTTTTGTTAAAGTAAATCATTGAAATTAATTAAGTTCTGAATATTTCCGTTGTAAAATCTATTTAAACACCAAAAGTCATTAGAAAAAAAATCGAACTTTTCTTATAAATGTACTGTAAATTTTAATGAATTACAAGACCCATGTAATTCATAGCCATTTTTAAACCAGAATTGTTTGGGCACTTGCTACAGGACCAACATTTTTAGAGCCCCTTAAGCCTTATACCGAAAAAAATGTTCAGTCTCTTTACCCTATAAAAGATTTATTAGAACATAAAATTGAACTTCTAAGTAATTATTATTTTAAATTTTAATTATATGAGATCGAAATTAATACATTGAAAATATACAATGGAATAGCATCAATGTATTTAATGAATACAATAAAATTGTAATAAATGTTAGATTTTGTGTTAAAATTAATTTTTATCTTATATTTATAATATAAGAGACAAAGAACTCATAAAAGAACTAGAATATTGTTTTTATAAATGCTAAATAATTTTACCCAATACTGAATATAATTGCTTAAAATTTAATTATTTCAAATTTAAAAAATATATATATATATATTATTTTCTAATTAAGAGATATATTTGACCATCAATTAAATAATAATAAAGCTTAAAATTTAATTAGTTTTGATTATATCTTTATTCCAAAAATTGTTTAACTACTCTAATTCGACTAAATTTGTACGTTAAATAAAATAGTGTGGAATTATTACAGAATTTTTGTAGCTTTTATGTTATTTTATGTATTAGGGCACAAAAATAGATAATCCCAAAAAAAATATTACTGTGTTGCTCCCATGGTTTACAAATTCCTAAAAGTTATATTGCGTTGTGCAGTGTATTAAAGATAATTAAGGTGGGATTATTGTTAAATTTGTTTTTTAACTAATTTTGTAGGTCAAATGACCTTATATGATTTGATCTTATATACTTAATGTTATTATTCGATTTTGGATATATTATTTTATAGAATGTTTTTTTTTAAATAAATAAAAACTAAAATTGAGTATAAAATTATAGCAAGTAGCATAGCTAGATTTTGTTTTCACTCGTAAACGCACCTTTAAATATATGTCAAAACCCTTAAATATCATACAATATAAAAAATAATATTAAAATTATTTATATTAAATATTTTATACAAATTTGGAATCAAACTATATGCTACTAGTAAACGTAAATTGAATTTCAAAGTTATTAAATGAGTCTGTATGGCACTAACACTAATTCAAATAATAACATAGTTTTTCAAATCATTTTTTACATTCTTGTTTTGATTTTAGTAGTGATTTCAATAAAAAAGAGCTGCATGGCTTTCTTTTTTCATTCTAAAAGTATAACATAAGTAATGTTAGTCTGACTCGCCCTGTTGTTAGACCGATAGCGAAATATGGAAGGGGTGAATTGAGTAAGATTCTTTTAGAAGATTTTTATCGTTTAGATGGAATTGTAAAGAATTATCTTATGTATATCCTCTCTAGAACAAAACCATAACTACTACACCACTATGTCTAACAATTGCTAATGAGTCCTCTATTATAGTCAATATTGGTACTCATTAACTATGATCTTAGGACATATATGGTAATGTTTTTAGGATTAATGCAAAACCTTATTTTTAAACATTTCAATCTATTATAAAATGTATTAATAATTATGTGAGTGCACACAAAATTATATGTTAGTGGTGGTCAAACATGTGCCCGAAATAAACTTACAAATTTATTTTAATTAATAAGTAGGACAAACAAAAAGAAATATAGGGGTCAGGTTTAATGAGCACATAAGAAAAATTAAAAATCAAGAAGTTGATAAATCTCCGGTGGCTGAACATTTATTGACATATAATCTAATCACTCCATTAAAACCATAAAACTAATTATATAATATAAAAGAGACAATAGAAATGTTTAAAAATAAAAATAATTTAATTATTGGGATGTTATCCCACTGAAAAATTCATTATTAAACTTGTGTAAACTGGTTAAATGTTGATAATACTACTTGGTGATGAAGTTACTGAGGAGGTATAAAGGTTTTTTTTTCGGTCAGGGTGTCAATTTTTGTTTAACGTTGATAATCGAACATTGTTCCCAAAATACGTAGACTCGATGTTTTCGAGTTAAATATTTTAGCTTCGATGGGAAGCTGAGAGAAGGTATTGGTTTTATTATGTGTTTTTTTTTCTGTCACCACTTTTTCTCAGCTCTCACGGAACCGATTTCTTTCAACGATACGTCAAAATATCACAAATCGTGTATCTAGTCGAATACATTACCCTTAAAAATTGCAAAAAAATTTCCCTCGTAAATGGGGGAAATCTCCAAAAAAAAAAAAAAATACAAATTTAAAAATCGCTAATTTTTGACATTTTTTCTTAAAACTGCCATAACTTTTTTAAAAATAACCGAATCAATATAATTTTTATAGATGCACGATGATGTCTTACGTATCATTTGATATATTTTTTTCATAAATCTGAATCTTTACCTGCCAACAGGGGGGGATTCAAATTTACAACTTTTTCACAAAAAATTTACTATTGAAAGTGTTCCGGAAAGTCTGACACATATATATTACATTAAAGCTAATGTAATATACTTTATCATGAAAAAAAAAAATCTGACTTTATTTTCTTCACGGTGATAATGAAAAGCTAGAGTTTATAGTACCTTTTTTTTTTTTTTACAGAGATAATTATTATTATTTTTTATAGAAGTTATTAAGTAAATTAATTTTATAATATAACAAATATTATCTCATCAGGTATTTAAAAAATTAAAAATATTTCTGATTTATTGAAAATATATTGCGTAAAGCCTTTTGTATACAATTTTTTAAAGATTTAACATTTATATTGTTAATGAGTTGTTAACATTTTTTTATTTTGGAAGTTAATCTTAAAATAAACATTGAAGGTGGTTATTAGATGAGAGGGAGGGGTAGTGTCAGAATAATTTTACGCTAATTATGTCTCTAGCTTTATATATATAGGAGGACCAAATACAATCGTATTTGGATAGCATTCTTAAATCTTAATTTCATAGCTGTAAGGCGAAATTTAAATTTTCTTTATTAATTGAAATTCTAGTGTTTTTATAGTTAGTTTGTTATGAAACTAAATTTCATAAATTTAAATTGTAAGGTATCATTGGTTTAAAAGCGTGATATTATTTTGTTTTTTAAGTTTTTTATTAACATTTTTTTTTCTTCTACTGACCAATATAGCTACTTTTTTAGAAGAGATTTGAACCTTTTTTTATATATTGTAAAGTTGTCAACGTATGTGGAATGTTGACTAAGTACTAGACTTACCGGACCCGTGTAGACACAGATCCAAAAATGTTTTGATTTCTAATAACTTGGCTTATTATTTAAATACTTTTTATTGCGTCCTATCTCAAGGTACCGCCCCGGAGCTCATATAAGTCTCATTCCAACCCTTATAACAAATATAATCATTAAAGCGATTTGGAGAAAATTAACTATAATTTTTAAAACTATATCATCAGATTATTGTATTAATTTAATTGTTGGACACGTATAAATTAAACTATCCAATATTTTTATCTTAAGTGTTATTTATTTATCTTCATATTTTTTTAAAATTATTATTACTCTATCAAAATTTCCAATTTTGTAAAAAACTTATCACGTTAATAAGCCTAATTTTATTTTCATTATTTTTTTAATAGGCTACACCGGATAAATTCTTAAGACGAAGCAATTTATAAAAAGTTGTGTTTACTTAATGTAAATAAAAACAATGTCTTGTTGTATCATTACTAAGCTCACGTAGATGCGTGATTTAAATATAAAGTGATACAAATTGTGATTTTTCAAGGTGGCCAATCGATTCCCGGACAACGAAAGCAAATAGGAGAAAGTGTGAGAATCAACTTCGGTTTTTATCCTTTGCGTTTTAGCACATGCATTTCGTTCACTGTTGTTGTTGAGCCCCACCCTCATGAAAATAAATACTATGTATTTTGACAGCTGTAAACTGTAACCATCATTTCTTTACAATTTGTTGGCGGCACTGCGCACCGGATACCCGACCGTTGGTCCTACTGGTTTGGCTCTCGTTTTTCTTTTACTCTCACATTTTATATCCGCCGTTTGACACACGCACGCGCCTCGTATGCAGTACTCACCATCGAGAGTCACATCTTACCATACACATGTACGTTGGCTGCCGTCAAACAAATGTATTCACGTGAGCGCGCGCGCATTCCGCTATGAGTTTGTGTACGTCCAGCCGCTTTCTCATTTCTCTTTCTGGCGGTACGTTTCGCCAGTACCACCACCATTACTACCGCCACTGTATATCGTCGTGCACCGCCATGGTAGTACTCATCGTGTGGCGTCTCGAGATCGGCGTATGCGCGTACGTTTTATTTCTGTGACCGCCTAATTGTAGTTTTTTTATAAATCAACTCTAAGTCTAGTAGTGATATTTACATTCCGTGTACATCTAATCTTGAATATATATAGTTGAAGAGAATTTTATTTAATCTAATGAAGGCGACTTTTAAGAAGGTAAGTTTTTGGTAATATCCCGTTCCCGCGTTTTAATGTTAGACTTAATGTAAATGAATCAATATACCTTCATCGTCGAAACATATATCTTATTCTTGCCGATTATTTTCTTTGCTAGTTGCTACGCAGTTTGCCGTCATCAACGTGTGTATGTTTGTTGTTATGTCGGTGCGTGCGCTTCCTAATATGATCCTGACCCCTTCTATAATCTCCGTACATTATGCTGTAGTCCTTATGAATGAACCGCGTATTTGTGACAGCATAGTTATGAATTGTTGTGGTGGGGTTAGCGCGCACACATGTTACATGCCGGATTTGACCTTTTAGTTGGCGTTAATAGCGTAGTCGTCTAGAGAAACTATTATATGTAACACATGAGAATGTTATAAAATCGCGGTTTTATTTCTTAGGATCCGTGAATGTTAATGGGTGCGCGTTGGAATGCTAGTTTTGAATTCCAGGTTGTCACCACGTGGGTTTCCCATGCATGATTTTTAACCGAATTAATTACATTTTGACTCGAATCACAATCTGCCTATTGTTAGTCCCTATCAAGCCTATTCATGTCACCTATTACTAAATTTAGTCTCATGATGCAATTTTTGTATATTCAACGTCAAGTTCTGGCCCATGTGCGCGTCGAAAGCTCGTGTATTGTTATCGGTAGGTGTCGTAGCTCGTAGTAGTATGACCGGGCGGTAAGTACCTTTCAGTGTATGGATTGTGCGGCAAGGGGAAAAAATAACTGCTATCGATCGCGCGGGGTTTTCGTGTGCCTGTGTCATCTACTAGCGTAATGGGGGTGACCAACAACGCCCGAGCCTGAGCATCATAGTATATAACCCCCAATCGGCAATTAAATACTGTAAAAAATCTTATTTTTTCATATTTAAAATTTTCACATTCCAGTTTTCAATATTTATTAACTTTAATTTTTTTTTTTTATTGATTCTCATAATAATTTTTGTGTATTGTGCTATTCATCTAATGAAATATAAATACAATGTTTATTATTTATTACTATAAGTTTTTTGTATTTGCTTAAATTATTTTGTGCTAATTCCTGTGTACATTTATTGTAAAATTATTTTATTTTGAAGTGAGTAATCTTACATAATTTATTTATGAAATATATAATATTGATACCGAGCATTATTATTTTAGTTACATCATTTTTTCATATTATTTTTTGTGTTGATAGTGGTTTCTGTCTTCTGTAACTAAAAAATAGTTTATAGGGGATGTATGTTTATGATGACAGTTAGGTTCAATTTATATTTATTGACCTTGAATTGACTTAGAATACGATACGTCATCTAATGTTTTTCAAAATCTCTGTCCCTCTTTCTTTATAAAACGTGTTTATAATAATTGAGAGCCAAGGTGCTCTGATAATGGTCTGTCTTTTGTTGGTGTTTTCATTCTTTCCGAGAGCAGTACATTTTATATTACAACAATGTTCATAAGTTGGTAATCCTGTTTTTGTGTTTGAATTGTTAGGGAGAAAGATACTGGAAATGTGGGATGACTAACATGCTGAACACTAAATGTCTTGTTTATTTCTAAATCATCCCTATTTGTTATTATTTTAAATGCGTGTTATAATAGAGAATATGTATTAATTTTTGTACTTTATGTATATTATTTCATAAAAATTAAAATTATGTTTATAACTTCACATAATATTTTAGTATCATAATATTAACTAAAAATTTTGGATTGTTTAAATTTTCTTTCAAGCCTCATTCAACATTTTTTTACTTTGATGATAAAAAAAGAAATATTTCGAAAGATATATTAATATAAGATTATATTTTACTGATTATCTAAAAATTGATTTACTATGTAATATTATTTTAGTTAATCATAAATTTTAATTTAAACAATTTCTATTTTCCTTCAAAATAAATATTTTTTTATTTTAGGAATACTACTCCAAAATACATCTCATGTTGCATAAAATCTGTGATAAAGGATCATTTAGAAATGATTCCAGATATACTTTCTGTGATAAAAAAAATGACAAAAGACGAAGGTAAAATTTTATAATTGTAGTTGAAATGCTATATTATTTTAATATACCAAATTTCTCCTTTAGACAAACTTATGCGTTTTGATACTGTTAGTACTGTTGGTTATTTATGCACAGTTTTTTATCAATATGATTACTTAAGATCTTATGTTAAAACTTTTTTACTTTCCCAAATCATAGAAGCTTTGTTTGATTCTGCTGAACAGGTATTATATTTCGTTTAAATATTAGTGAGTTCCCTTAAATGATAACAGATTTTATTATATTCTTCAAGGTTATAATGCGTGCTCAAATGGTATTAACTTATATAATAAGTAAAGGTGTGATCAATGAAAATTTAATTGAAGAGACTGTATGTCCTGCACTTATTATGATAGCTAACTCTACAGATGATCTCCATGTACAAAATAATATTGTCACGGTAACTATTTATCAAAAATAGATTTAATCTTAGTATCATTGTTAAAAAACTATAATTTATGTTTAAATATAATCTTCAATAAAAATGATAATGGTTGCTGCTAATTGAAAGACATGGGTAGTGAGATGTAAAATTGAAACCTATCTCACTATCTTGTCTTTCATGTTGCACTAACTTAGACCTTCAACTCAATTTCATTAAAGTAAAAGTCTATCTGTTGCCGTCAAAGCGGGCTGTCGTAGAGTGTTAACTGTGTTTGACTATCACAGCCAGCTTTGATGAGCACCGGATTGATATTGTTCATCTTGAATTGTGTGCTATTTATGATGCCTAACATAGGCCATCAAAATGGATGTGAAGTGTACATTACAATATTCATATCACAGCCACTTTGATGAGCCAATGTATCTGGTACTTACATCTATTCTTTCAGGTATAAATTTTAATAAGAATTTTTATAAATAGCTGTTTTCTAGTATGTATTAAAATTCAATTTATTTTTAATTTTAATTATACATGTATATGTACACTCTGTATAATTTACAGAATGATTCTTTTAACACTAACCACAATATTTCTCATAAAATAATGAATTTTATTGGCTTTTGTTTGTTAGTTACATATGTATGTCATATAGGGCTGTCATTTATATTTTTTTTAATGGCAACATGTATTCAACTAGCTTATAAAAAAGTTATTTAAGAAGAGAGTTATTAACATTTTTATACCTAGGCAAGAAAAGAATAACAGCCAAGAAATTTCTAAAGATAAATGAAGATACATATGTTATAAACAAAAGTCAAAAATAATAATAAATTTATGATTTTAAAGAAAATTGAGTGGCTTATGTTAAAATAATCACCTTGTATATAGGTCAATACCGATTGTATACAATTTATTTTACTATTATTTTCATTTATTTATTGAACATTTTACACACACATGAAATACAGAGCTGAATTAGCTATATATGTATGAAAAATTCTTTATTTGTAATTAGATTACATTAAATTAGAAACAAAATAAATAATATTAAGTAGTTACATTTATAATATTTGTATAAATTTTAAAATTCAGTCATTATACTTTTTATTTTTTCTTAATACTTTTTTAACAATAATTTTAATATTAAATATCTGATAATTATGGCAAAATATTAATGTGTTTGAAGGCGTCCAAATGGTCAAATCGGATGTGACGTGTTGATATGTCTATTCATATCACAGCCGTTTTTGACAATTTTGGCGGTTACTCGTGTTCTTCACTGTTTTCCTATTTGATTTGAGATGCTCACAAAGCAACTGTGAAATGTAGATATTGAAGAATCATATCACAGCCAGCTTTGATGAGCGTTACAGATTAAAAGAACAATGCAGTACTTACAACATCATCCATCTGATATACAGGAATTGTGGCTCTCATCAAAGTGGTAGTGAAACGTTCTATTTTCTTAATTATACATTAATTCGTATCACAGCCAGCTTTGTATGAGCGCAACGATTTCAATTATCAAAAACAAAAAATGAATATATGTTATGAAATTGGTTAAGTTTATCTAAAAAACTGATGTATGTATATAATTATTTAAACAAATTTCTAAGTAATTAATTTCATTTTAGAATCCATACTTCAAGGTTCAACTTATGATAGTTGACCCCGGAGGTACGGAAATATTTCTATTATTTTATGTATCTATTTGTATGTATTTATATATCTTCATTAACATTTTTATTTTTTACATGGGAATATTGGTTAACTAAATTATGTATATATTTTTGTTATTTTAACAGTTAGTAGGAAAGCTAGTTCTTAGGGTCAATGAAAAATTTTTATACAAAACCATGTTGCCATTTTTAATTAACAAAAGTCAAAGTGATTGTATATATGTGAGATTAGCTGCCTTATTAAGTTTTCCTGAACTTGGCCATGTTTTAAATGTAGAACAAAAAAATAAAGTTCTTGTGAGTTTTTATTTAATTATGAAGTTTTTTTTTTTTAATAGGTTAAGTATTAATTTATTTTAATTTAGTTACCTCGTTTTGTTGAAATGTGTAATGATAGAGTGAGTACGATTCGTAAAACATGTGCAGATATTTTAACTCCCTTATCTGCCTGCTGTAATAATAACCAGAGATGTGGACCCATAACTGATGCAGCAAGTCGGCTACTTAGTGATCACTGTAAATTTGTGCGTCAAACTGCATTAGAAAATTTGGGCCCATTAATTACAACATATGCCAAAAATGCTGTTACATCTCTAGTCACTACCCGGACTTATATTCTAATGATGGTCAGTAATTTTACTGATGATTTACATTACATAACGTATGTATAAACTTTTCATTAGTTATAATTAGTGTAGGATTTTCTGTTGTATTGTTTATTGAAATAATATCATACTTTCAGAATGAGATGCCAAACAAGTCAAGAATATTTTAAAGCAACAGAATTACTTATGGATCGAGAAAAACCTTGGTCTAATGAAACATCAATGAAAAATGACAATAAGTAATTTTTGATGATTCTTTTATAAACCTTCAATATTGCTTATGTTCAGTGTACTATTATAGTTTATACTATAAACTATAATAGTCATAGGTATTTTAACTATTTTTCTAACTTAAATAAGTCCTAATAAAAAACTATGTTTGTCACATTCTCTTTTCTATGAAAACTTACCCTGGTCAACAAAATTGTACTTTTTGTAATCATCACAATTAAACTAATTTTTCGAGTTGATTTCATATTAGCAATTTTATCTTTTATATCATCTAATTTTTTAATTATTAATCAGTAAACCTAGTAAATATATTTTTAAAAAATATCCTAAAATTACAAATTGACAAAACGAGCCACAAAAAAAAAATAGTAATTTTTTTTTATTTATATATATATTTAAAAAGCTCAATTTCTCAATAATATTATGAAGGAAAAAATTTATTTCTTATTATAATTTTTTTTTTTTATCTAAATACTAATCGTTTACTAACTAATAAATAAGTCAAAAACTAGTGGTGATCAAATATCTAGTAGGTCAAGTTCTAGTAATGCTATTATATATTTGCACAAAACAATTTTCCAGATTTATCTAATACTTGAAGATATTTCTCCTTAAGATACAGATTTCAAATTTGAAACATAGATTAAGCTCTTAAATAGTGTAGAGTACTTAGCTATAGAAAAAGAAAGTTATTAAAACAATTTTAATACAATTCCTCCCAATTTTATTTGAATGACCTTAAGACTTGTTAGGGTGAAATTTTAGTTCGATCCACTCTTTCCCATCTCTAAGAGGTTAAAAATTGGTAATGAGAGTTGAAATTTATTGATTTATTTTTGAAGAACATGTTATTTACTAAATTAAAGTATTTAAATTATATATTATAATAAAGGTAAATTATTTTATTTTTAATTAATATGCAATTTTATTGGATTGAGTGAATGCGCTGACAGTTTATATTTGGTTATTAACAATTTTCTAGTGTTTTGATAAGTAATGTATAATGTTAGGTATATCAAAATTCGAAGAGTTTACTTATACTTACTTGATATTTTATGTTTAGATTTTGGGTTGCTGATTATAATGTAAAGACTGAATCTGAAGAATTATATAGTACTTTTGCTTATTGGAGGGAACCTATTTGTGATGCAAAAACTTCCTTCAATTTTGATGTAAGTTTTTTCTGAATTTGTTTTATATCAATATTTAGTATGTTATTAATGATAACAATTTATTATTCATACAACACATTTAATTTAATTTTTTTTTTTTTTTTTTTTTATGTACATCAATGTACATTTTTAAAAAAAATCTTGACTTATCTTATTCAGTATGTCATATTACCATTAAACTGTGTAAATATCATGAGTTTCTACATAAAAATTAAAAATATTGAAAAAAAAAAAATTTTTATGTGCTAAAATAGTTAATTAGATGTCCTTAATAGTAAGAACTACAAAATTGTCAAATTATGATCAATATTATTTATTGAAAGTGTTTTATTGTTATAATAAGAATTGATCATATGTGGCTATTAATATTTAAGTTTAATTTTTTTTTATCAATATATTTGCTTCATTAAATTTTTATTTTAAGAAATTATTATTTAACCTTAACTGTTTTTAGAACGATTTTGATGAACGAGATAATGACAATGATAGACATCAAGCAGTTTTTCCAAATAAATTTTGGTATGTGCCTATGAATAACAACTCGAGTAAGTTAATAGTCATATAATTTCTTATGTTCTAAATGTTAATATTATAATTATTATTTATAGCAAATCTAAATTGTTCAGAATTAAAAAAATCAGAATTTGAAGTGCAGCCAGTATACAAGAAAATTGAAGATAAACAAGATAATCATGAATCAGTCATTGAGGATGATATTCGAGATCTTCCTGTACCATCTATTTTATTAGATCATTTTGCTGACATGGCTGGAGCTTTTGATGATAGTGATCTTGCTTCGCAGTGTGCTTGTATGTTACCTGCTGTACTTGTTACTATAGGGTCCAGCCATTGGCCATTACTTAGGCATACCTATTATGTCTTAGCTTCACATAGATCAGTATGTTAGATAATGATTTTGAATTATCTAATTTAATAATAAATTCTTTTTTTAAGTGGAAAGTTAGAAGAAAGGCTGCGTCTTATATACACAAATTAGCTATTTTTATTGGAGAAGAAGCAACATCTAGAGATCTCTTGCCTATATTTGAGTCGTTAGTTTTAGATCTAGATGAAGTTAGATCTGGTGCTATTGATAATTTTTCTGCTTTTTTACGGGTAAATATATTTAAAAAAAAAAAACAGTCAAATTCTATGTAAAGTATTGCTATGTAAAAATAATCTTTAATAATTTTTAATCACTATAAAAGTTTAAATATGAATTAATGCCAGATAAATTAAATGTAGTATTTAAATAAAAATTAATATAATATAAATATTATACAAAATAATAAAAATGATATCTTAGTACTAAATTTATAGTATTATAATAGTATGTTTATTTGTCCAAAAGGTCCCTCGAAGTAAATTAATTAATTATACAGAATAAATGTGTTCTAAATTCAATTTACTTATATTAGCATTTATTCATGAAATGATAATTTTTTTTTTTTTTTTACTTAGTATTATACTCTTTATAATATTTTTATGTATCTTCATGTAATACAATTTGCAGGTTTCTAATATATTTTAAATATCAAAAAAGGTATGTTAATTGGGAATCTATCCCCAAATTCTCTCCATTTGACTGCCACTAATTTTGACTATTTATAATAACAAAAAAGATTGCGAGATTCATCTCATATTTATTTTGGTTTAATTTCTTAACTAAGGTCTATTTATTTTGGAAAGTAACTGCCACACCTTATAATAACAATTTTACGCTAACATTTTAAGTAAATAAAACTAACTTTATAAGTTAGACTTTCAATAAAGACTGTTATAAATGATGAATAACTTAGGTCCGTGTTTCATCTTATTCTAAGTGATGAATATGTTACCCTAGTATCTGATTATGCATTTTTATAGTATTTGTTTAAAATATATGTTTATCTTTTAATTTGTATATAATAGTTTATTTTATATGATGAAATAAAATTATGGTCTGTGTTTCATCTGATATCTAAGTGGTGAATACAAACTTAATTCTGATTATAATATAAACTTATTTTAAAGTTTAAATTTTTTTTATTTTGGAAATCTAATTTTAACTTGTTTGACTTATCATTATATTCTTACAGATGTTATCTATTAGTGTCCGCAGTGATTTGGCACCTATGATGTGTCGTTTTTTAAAAACTGATTATGAATGGAATTGGCGGTTTCGACAAAATTTTTGTGAGCAATTAGTAGAATCCTTACATTTGTTTACACCACTTGATATGTATCATCATATTTATGAAGTCTGTTTATCTTTATTGATGGATAGAATATCATCTGTGCGCCTTTCTGCATTATCACTGGTAAATTGTATTAATATTAAGCTTGACAAGTTTAATAATTCTTTCTACTTCAGGTACCTGAACTATTAGTAGTTCTTAATAAAAATCTTAGCCTTAAAAGGTTGATGTTAAATGAGATAGTAACACGTTTTGGTAAAGCTGATTTATGGAGTCGCCGACAAATGTTTGCCCAAATATGTTACTACATATTATCTTATGGTGAAAAATGTTTAACAGCTGGTGATTTCAACAATGAATTACTGCCTACATTATTAAATTTATCATCTGACCGTGTTCCCAATGTTAGATTGATGGTTGCTAAAACATTAAGTTTATTAATATCAAATAATTGTAAGGTTTTTTTTATATATTAGTCTATTAAATTCTGAACTGAAATAAATAAATTTCTAGCTATATTTATGGGTATAAAAAACTTTCAATATGATGTAATAGAAAATGCTTTAACTGAATTAAGCAAAGACAATGATAGAGATGTTCGTTATTTTGCTGATGGTCATCATAAAGAATCAAGCATTAGTACTAGTTAATATTTTTATAATTTTTTGATGTTTTATTTTTTTATTTATTTTTTTTATATATATATATATATTTATGTTAATAAATTATTTTTACTACTCTGATGATATTAATACAATTCAACTCATGGCTGTGCCAGTTAATGTCTTATGGAACCTGTTGAATTAATAAAAACTTTACATGGTTTTATAATTATTGTTGTTATGATATTAAATTATTATACTTTGGTAAATTTTCAATTAAATATAACAGTAATATATATAGAATAATTTATTTAATTTTAAGTTTATCTATAAAATGTCCCTTTTTCCCTTGCCTTATCCCAACTACTTGGAATCGGCAACCTTTATCCTAAACTTTCACTTTGCACAATTTCTCACATTCATCTACACACACATCAGCCGACTTAATATCGCATTCAATAACCTTTTTTTTTTTTATCTTCCATAACTTTAAAACTTTAGATTTCTCTTATCGTAATACGACCAAATTATCTAAGTCGATTTCTTGTTATCTATGATTGACAACGCTTATGTTTGTTCTTTATCTTCTCTAGTCACTCCACTCATCTATCTAAGCATTCTCATCTCTGCTCTACTTTCTTACCAACCGTCCAACATTGAGTCATACATCATAGCTGGTCTCACTAGTCTTGTATAATTTATCTTTCAGCCTCATTAAAATTCTTTTATCATATAAGACGCCAGACACTTCTCTTCACTTTAACTACCCGCACTTAACCCTGTATCTTACATCCTCGTCCATACCATCGTTCTTTTCCTACATACTTGCAACCTATTCTAAATAGATATAACTTCACCTCTCCTATCACATCCACGCTTAATGTCGCTGATCTCATTTCACTTAGTGTTTTCCTTTGTCAAAAGATATAGAGTACACTATATACTCTGTCTTCCTCCTACTTGTTCATAATTCCTTTCCTACAAGCGCTGATCTTTGCACCTCTAGCCTTTAATTAAAAATTACATTGCTAAATTAATAAACATTAATTTGATACTATATTTAATTAAAGTATTTATTTTTATCTGATTTTAATTAGGATATATATGTAAGGAAACAGAGTTCGTGATACTCTGAGTAATTCAACAATTCCTTTTATGATAGCCATTAAATTTTCTTAAAAAATTGTAAATTTTTACGCTAAAGTAATATTTTTTTGTTAAACTTTCTAGGTTATTTACACATATAGATATCAAGGTATCAGGAAAATTATTTTTTTAACTCTAGCACAAGCTTTAATTTAACATATGTCTATAGCTCGTTGAATTTTCCAAAAGGTTTTCAGGATTTTGGTTGGGTTTTGAAATTTTCTAGTAGCAGGTTAAGATTCAAATTTTCTAAAGATAAAAAATCACTTATTATAATAGACTTAGATGATTTGGTCGTATTATGAGAGAGAGATCGGAAGCTTCAAGATAGTTATGGAAATGAATGTTGAAGGAGGAAGATCAAAATAGAGGCGAAAGAATGTTATTGAATGCGATATGAAGACAGCTGATGTGGGAGATCTTATCAAGTGGAAGTTTAAGATAAAGGTGGTCGACCCCAAGTACTTGGGATTAAGGCTAGGAAAAAGAAGTATTGTAATTCCCACGGAGAAATTATTAAGTTGTATACATGTCATCCTCTTAATATTAAGCCACTTAATTAAAAAAATTATTTTTTAATTTTATACATTTGTTCAAGTTAAAGAAAACACCAGTATAGATTTTTTTTTAATGAAAAAAAATTTGTTAAAAAAATTAATTTTATATATTTATTTAAACATGTTATATATACATACAAAATTTAAAGTTCAATTATATATGTACACTCATATATATAAAATATTTCTATTAATAATCACACTTGTTATTTATTTGAAGAAGAGATCATACTGAACTAGGTTAGCTGACTAGGATTTTAGTAGTCGGTGCTATTACTGATCGGTCATTTATTTCTTGATGCCTAACAATTATTTGCCGACATACAGGACACAAAGTTAGTTGTTGTGCACAATTTTTACAGTATCCACTAAAACAAAATTTATTAATTTATCTAGTTAATAATTTTAGTTACAATTTATCTTGTTTTTATTTTTTAATTGAAAATTTTGTATTTTAAAACAATTAAAAACTTACTCATGTTTACAGGGATAAAATATTACATCAGCTTTACGGTCAAAGCATATAGTACAAGAATCCTCATCAGCTGTTTGTTTACCCAACAATTCTAATCTCATGCGCCTATAAAATTATAATAATCAATAATTTTACTATATAGTCATTGCATGAATGACAGTTGATCTGATCACACAGGTATATAAGTATACCAGTATGGGCGGTACCCACAAATTTTATAATATAAGGATTAAAAAATTTCTATTTTGAAAAAATAAATAATTATTATTTACTATCATTAAAAAAAAATTGTAACGAAATGTTAATTGTATTAAAAGTTATAAGTTGTCAGAACATATTAGACAGGTAATACGATTAACATAATCCACTCAATTACTGACAGAATAAAAGTAATTTTAGGATAATTTTTTTTTTTTATTGGTAACATTTATTTTATTATTATATTTATCATTTATAAAATACAATTACTGTTGAACCTTAATATCATCTATAGGTGTTAACTTTACTTTTATAATGGTGACATATGTATATAACTAGCATACAAAGAAGAAAATGACTGGTTGATAACAACTTTTGGACCCGTATTTTGGAATTTATTTTTATACCTATGTGGGAAAATGAGTAAGGTCTGAAATGTCTAGTAATAAAAAAAAAACAAATCTGCTCCTCAACTCAAGCTATTTTTGAATGATATGATATACAACTATACCACACCATTGCCCTTCATAGAATAAATTTATATATAATTACATATATATAGAATGTTAAGTAAGTAAGGAAGTAGATTTCTATTGTTCTCAATGTTTATAACAATTAACCTGTTTCCTTACTTATTGAACACCTATTTATAAAAACTTACTTGGGTAAAATTATCTTTTGAGTATCATCTAATTTTCCATGTGTATTCATTATATTGAATTTAACACCTTTGGGAGCATATTTAAATGGTTTACTGCCAAAATTAAATCGACTTTGTTGAAAAGTCATAAAACTGGCAGCAGCAAAAAACTCTGATCTATAATTAATAAAAAAGAAAAAAAAATAATATAATCATTACATATTAAACTCTCTACATTAGGTGAAATTGTTAGAAGTCAGTATAAAATTTAGAAAAATACAATTTATTTTAAACATAAAGAATATTCGTCAATATGACTTTAAATTTCGCTAAAAATTTACAAACCATCTACTAATTTAAAACTTTAACAACTTTTTTTTTAAAATTAACATGTTATTAACTATGTTTCAATGAAAAATATAAATTATTTAATGAAATATTTCACTAAAAAACAAATTTAAATATATAATTTTTATAACATTTTTCATAAGGGCTTTAAGTATTGAAGCAATAAAAAAAATTGTTTTTTCCATATTTTCATAAAATTACTAAAAAACATTGCTTACAACTTAATATTAAATAAAAAATACCCCATCAATTTTTGAGAATAGCTATAATTTCTTTGTCGCCATGAAATTGCCAGAGTTTGGAAGGTTTGACAATTTTTAACCTGTATCAAGCTTATTAAGTTATAACATTAAAGAAAACCAGCATAGTAGGCTGTATAATTGTATAATTGGGACAAGTATAAATTATATCTGACAGTAATGTTAAATACTATTATAATGAACACTGATGCACATTTATTAAATTTCTCAACAATTTGTTTAATTGTAACTACTTTAAAGTTTTTCTTAATATATTAATCATAATTTTTTTTTTTTATGTTTTACTAGCTATTTAATGGAGAATGATCTAATTAATAATAATAATTTAATACTCTATTTTAAGTTAATACAAATAAATTATTTTAAATTTGATTAATGAATGATTATGATAATAAATTATTTTGATTCTGTTAAAACAAAATCATTAAGATTAGTTCAATAAAATTCAACATTTATCTAAGGACTACACAATTTTATTTATTCGAATATAATCATAAAAATAGTAAAATACATTTTACATAGACATGGTAAAAGTTTAAGAAGATTATAGGGTATGGTATTTTGTTAAGTACCTCTTTGCTTATCAGCTAATTTCAATAATATTTCAAATAAAGATTAATCATCCATCAATCAATCAATTTAAAAATCATTAAAATATGCGTTGAATTTTTTTTTTTTAAGTTAAAATATTTTATTTACAATACAGTACAATTAGTATAAGTTTGTTTAAGAAAATAATGAAGTTATTTTAGGTCTTTAATAAAAATTCTAAAATATTTCTTTAAAATAATATAAATATTATAAAATAATTATATTTAATAGAAATTTCATACTTGGCGAATTGAAATATTTTGTCATTAGAAGCCACTATTTGACCATTCAAATAAAATGATGCACAAGGAGATGGAGTTTCAAGTCGTAACAAACAACCTACAGTATCTCCTTCTTTCCATGATCGACCTGACACACAACTAGTACATCGAGCTCCATACCAAACTAATTGTCGACAGCCATCATAAGCAACAGAGTGTTCATCATCACCTATACCATATCCATCCTATAAAAGTATGCATTATAAATGAAATAAAATATAAATATTTATGAAGTAAAAACTTACATGGTTAAAGAATTTAGAGTTTTTAGTAGACCATCCAATTTGCATAACTCCAGATGTTAGGATAGTTACTTCATAATACCAAGTGCCTTCATCAATTTGAAAAGTACATCTTACACTTTCAAAGCTACATGCATCACACCTTGCCTTTAGAAAGAATAAATTTAATTTAAATCAATCAAATATTATTAAAATTATTCATTTTTGTAAAACATCAGAAAATCTTCAAAATATTTTCAAATAAACTGAAATTTTTTTTTACAGTTTTTGAAGTTATTTAAGATTTTAATATTTATATGCTTTTTCTATAACAATAAATGTTTCCTGTGTTGTATAAAAAAGAACAGACGAAAATTATCTTTATGTTTTATATTAATAATAGTAAAACAAACTAAAGAATGTTATGTATTCTTACAAAAATTATTTTTACAATGTAAATTTGTTAATTTTTATAATAAGTATGAAACACTTAGAATAAAAGGGTTATAAGTTAATATTTTTATAACAATTCAATTAGGTATACCACAGGACCTAATCATAATGACTATCAAATGGTTAAATTATTAGTTGTACCTGTCAGTTAAAATCTTAAAAATAATTTAAAAAAATATAAAAATTAGAAAAAATTTTATAATTTTTAATGATGTTAAACTAAAAATAAAAACTTTGAGCAATAATTATTTTTCAGTAACCACTGAAAAATAAAAATATATCACTCATACTCCTTGTTTTCTAAGCTTCATATAATACATGATTATACCTCTAACCCACTAGGACCAAGTTTTAAATATTCACTAGCATCTTCTTGATTTAAGATTGCATTTACACCTTCCATAGTAGTATTGATGTAGGAAAGTGATCTCTGATTATCTACAACTGCAAAAACAAAACAAAAAAGTACTGAAAAATTCAGTGGCATTATAATTTAGTAAGAGAATATACATATATTGTTCACTATTAAAGAAAATCTTCAATGTATAATTATTTTTGTTTAGAGAATGTATGCCCCTAGAATACCTATATCTTCATTTATTAAACTTGTTTTTGATAAAAAAAAAAATAATACTAATTTCCTTAAACAGTTCCTCCTGATTCTCCATAGTTTTGAAACTACATAAATTATACACAGACACGTCTAAGATGGAAGTAAGAGTATAATTGTTTATAGTACTTGAAAACTCCTATAAAACTTATAAGTTACCAAAATATTGCTCTATAACACAGCTGAAACATATGCTATATTGAAGGCACTTGACTATATTTAAGCGGACAATATTGGAGACCCAGTTATTCATTTAACTCAAACTTTCTGGTCAATTTAATACAAAACACTGTTATAAATACAAATACAACTCGAAGGTTGTCAAAAATGATATGGGTCCCTAGAACACTCATCAATTCAAAGTAATGAAAAGGCAGACCTACTAGCAAAGGAAACTGCAAAAGCTGACAACATAGTAATAACACCTCATGCACTATCCAAGACATCAAATCAACCATTAATACAAAATGACTACTCCTATGGAAACAAGAAATGATAAGTACTGAGATTAAACTATTCAAAATAAAACCAAACATTCAAAAATGGTCATATCTTGACATACCAGACATCAAGTTATCATTGACAGACTCAGAATTGGACACACATACAACTAACTCATGAATATTTAATGAAAAACAGTACTCCACCAATATGCAAGATTTGTGGAGTTTATTAACTCTGTCAACATATTCTCAAAAATTGCCATAAGTATGAACATCAAATAGAGGCACATGGGATACCTCACAACTTTGCCCAATCTTTGAAATAAGTTCATAACTCTGTACAAAGATGAAATAATTCCTTAAAAACTATTTGACTTAGTATAATATCAATGTAATTTATTTGCTAACTGTTAATCACTTCCATTGTTAATCTAATCTAATTATTTAAAGAGCTACTTTATTGTGATATAATTTTGATATACATGTAACCACGGGCAAAGTTTTTTGCTTTCGCGGCCTTTAGTAAAAAAAAAAAATGAGTAAACAACATATTGAGAACATTCATCCGTGAAATTTGAAATAATAACACATGCACATTGCTTGTATATAAAATACATATAGGAGAGTGGAATGAGAAGAAAATGAAAGGATGACACAGATAGAGAGGCAGAGATATACACTATTCGCTTGTACATAGCAATGGATATTTATAGAATAACATCATAATTTTTCATTATTCGTTTTCGCTGTAAAATATTAAATTAGTAAAACACTACTTGTGTTGCATTTTTCTGAGTTAGGCGTCGCCGCAAAACCTATATCACATACCAACCAGCCATAAAAAACTTTGTTCCAAAAATTCCGGTACTACTAACTTATTTTGTTGTAAATTCTTACAAATCAGTTAACAATATACCTAGTCATTCTATGATGTTTTTTATGTCTATTGTAATTAGAAGAATTATTAGTAAACAATTTTATCAAATGGCATCAAGTAATAATGTCACAATATGATATATATATATATATATATAACAAAATAGTTTGTGATTACTTATTATTATCCATTTAAAGTTAATATTTCAATTATTTTTATTAATATTTCAAAAAATATTAGATTTTAGCAAAATTATTATGATACCTCTTTTATTTAAAATAAATTTTACACCTACAATGTTTTTGTTAAATGTTAAAATTTAACAAAATAATTGCAAAAGAAACCTAATACAAGGAAATTTTTTATAAAAAGTGAATATCATCGGGTTTTTGTTATTTTAACCACAAAGTATTGATTTAACAAAAAATTGTAAAGAATAATTTTTTATAGGTAATAACAATATTTACAATATAAGTTATTACATTACTTTCCGTTAAATTAAAACTGTAGCCTAGAAAACTACAATTATTTTTATTTTCCCAACATGTTAATCAAGTTGTAAAAAACTCAAATCTTATAGAAACTATATTTAGATTTAATGAACAAAGTTTTGATAGTTGCTTTTCAAGTATCAAATAAAAATTTTTCCTTCATATACAGAGTGAGTTTTTTTATCAGAACTCACTCAATTACTTAGAGAATAAAAATAATCTTATCATTTTTTTTTTGGTTTCTTTTTGTGGCATATTATTCTTGAATTATTAGCCATGTATTACTTATTAAGTTCAACCCTCAAGCCTTGTAAGAATGTCAATGTTTTTTTTTAAATGGAAACATATATTTCGAATTTAATAAAATGTTTGAGGTGTTATTTTAATTATAATGGAAATTTTAATTTTTAAAATATAAAAATTTAGATATAAAACTTTAAAGTTTCAAAATGGTGGGTTAATATACATATATAATGTACGAGGGTTACTAACACCGGTAGCTATTTATTTTTTTATGACATCCCTATTCACAGATATAAAGCATTTATTGACAATTATGACTTTATCAACAGATATATTCTTAAAGTATAGTTGTATATATGCATAAATGCATCAACCAGCAATACAGAAAACAAATCTATCAGTAGTCAAAATTGACAATAAACGCTTTATTGACAATCTTACAAGGCATAAGAGTTCAACTTAAAAAATATTACATAATTAATAATTCAAGCAGGAATAATATGTAACTAAGGAACAAAATAAAAATAAAAACCCAGCACAGGGAGGTCGCCTCACAGTGGTGACATAGTATAGTTGGATCAAGTATAATGATATCTGATAGTGATTAAAATCACTATGAAAAAAAACGTTTCGATGCAAATCTTTAGATAGTGTTTAATTTTAAAAAATTGGTGGATTATTTCAAAAGCTACATGATCTGCTATTTCCTTATTAATATCCTGATTAAGATAAAGTATGTCAAATGAAAAAGGGATTATTAAAAAATATTATTTCTCATGAAAAAATTGTATTGATTCATACATTTTTTAAAAAGTTATAGCATTTTAATTTTCAATGTGTAGACAAAATAAAGTACGAAATTTTTTTTTTCCATAATAAAGTACATTACATTAGCTTTAATTTAAGATATATATAAAAGTGTCAGACTTTCCATAACACTTTCAATAGTTAAGTTGAAAAAGTTGTCATTTTAAATCCCCTCCTGTGGGCATGTAAAGGGTCAGATTTATAAAAAAAATATACCAGATAAAAGGTAATGACATTATAAATCTATAAAAAAAAAAATTATATTTATTTGGTTATTTTAAAAAAATTTATGGCAATTTTAAGAAAAAAAATGTTAAAAATTAGCTTTTTTTAAATTTGTAATTTTTTTGGAGGTTTCCCCCATTTAACAAGAGAAATTTTTTCAATTTTTGAGGGTAATATCTTCGACTAGATACAATTTGTAATCTTTTGACGTATCGTTGAAAGAAAGACATTTGGTGAGAGCTGAGAATAAGTGGTAACAGACACAAAAAAGAAAACACATCATAGTAAAACCAATATCTTTTCAGCTTTGCATCAAAGCTAAAATGTTTAAATTATTTTTATTTTCTAAGTAATTAAGTAGGTTATGATAAAATGATCACTCTCTATAAATATCAGATAGATATTACCTCATACCTTATAAGAGCAGAGGTAATTCTACACTAATTATTTAAAAATATAAATAAATTTACATATATTATCCAACAACCATTCAGCACAAAATCCAACTTGAGCATATAGAGGTTGGTCAGAACCAGTTAGTCTTTCAAATATTGTTAACATAGCTAAAGGTCCAGTTTTCATAAAACGTTCTATAGTGTATCTATTTTCTCCTATAAAATTATAATTATAATAATAATTTTTTATTTTTTATTTTATTTTTATACTTATTTGTGCAAATTTTTCAAGAGCAATTAATGAAAAAAGAATAATTGATGGATGTACTTGTAAATTCTAAAAATAATAAAAAATAATAACTTTTTAACTATTATTAACATATTTTTAAAATATTTACCATATTATTAAAAAGATAAGTCAAAGTTTCTTTTGTTAATAAAGCAATACTTGATGGTCCAGGCAATTTATCAGCAAGTATACCCAAAATAACACATATATTACGATGCTGGTCAATAGTCTTACATTTAGGTGTTTTATTTGAAAGGTCTAACATAAATGATAACTTTATTATCGTGTCCTATAAATTATTACATTTTTAATATAGGATAGAATTTTTTAATATAATAACTAAAAATATTAAAACCTTGTCAGGTAAAGGGCAATCATCCAGAATAACTGTTATAAGTGCTGGACTTAGTGGATCATCAAGAGGAATTACATGAATCATTGATAGTACTACTTGAATCCAACCTTCACCATCATCGGCCAGCCAATGTAATTTGCGTAACGCTTCTGGAGCTTCTGAACCACTAAAAAATATATTGAAGCAAAGTTAAGTTGGATAGGTTAATTTAATATCACACAAATTGTGATACAAAATAGACATTATAACTACAAGAGTCATACAAAAAGCAAATTTTCCTACTCTATAAAGTAAAAACTACTAGGAATATAAGTAAAATTCTTTTATCTTTGTATAAAGCAACTTAATAATTGTAAGCTTTGATTTTTTTTAATAGAAACTGCTCTTTTTAGTTTAATAATATGATAGAAAAAAAATTTCAAAAAACTTTGTTCTGATAATTTTATTACCCAAATGACTGTTTTTCTATAATAGCTATCAAATTTTAACAGATTTTATGAATTGTCTAGTGATATTTTCAGTTTAAAATACAATAGTTGTTATATTTTCACATAAACAAGTTTTTATTGACAATTTTTTGTATGACATATATCATTTACCATAGCAAGTATAAATACCACTAACAATTAATGAACTATTGAAAAAGATTATTATTTTCTCTGGTTTTATGAAAATCAAATTATAGATCAATTTTTATTTTAAATCAAAAATTTTTAAAAAGTAATCGTCTAATTAAATAAAAAAATTAATGAAAAGAAATTTTTTATTGAAACCCTTTATTTTATAAAAAACAAATATGAGCATTTAAAAAATGAACCTCAAAGTATTAATACTGCAATTAACTCTGTGACAAATATCCATTATTATTTTAAATTTTAGTTTCTATAAAACTATTTTTTTAAAGACTAATGCTACAAATTTTATTTAAAACATAATTTATTTAACAGATTAAACAACTACTTCATACATAAGGCATAGCAAACAATGTTTATTAATTTAACTTACTTATCGATAAGTCCCAAATTTTTAATGACACTTAATGTTTGAAGTACTAAAGAATCAGTTTGTTTTAATGAACCAGTGCGAATACGTTGTCTACCAAAAAGAAATCGTCTTCGTTCACTTTCAGTTGACGGATGATTACTAAATATGTTTGTATTATCTTCGCCATTCTGACACGATTTACAATGAAACGCCCCCATTAAGATGAAATTTTTAACAGATTATTACGATTAAATTGCAAGTTGATTACTTGGTAAATGAAACTTTTTTTATTATTATAACTATCAAAAAGTGTTCATTACAACGTGATTGTTTTAACTTCTCAAGTGTAAGCCATTAAAGTGTCTTTTATTTATTACGTCAATAACACAATAATATTATAGATACATCTACATAATACATTGAAAATAAACTATACTTAGTCTATGCACATAAAAATATGATAATTTATATAAATATATATGTAATTGTTCAATAATATATAGATTAGTAAATCATATTGAGAAATTTAAGCTTTCAGCTGATGTTATCAATTATCAAGTGCAAAGGTGACGTAAACAAAGCAGTAAATATTTTGTGTATGCTATAAAAATTGAAATTACGTATGATAAGTTTATATTGTAGATAATGCTAAATGACAAATTATAAAAAGCTACTCAATATTGGACCACAAAGTTAAAAAAGTTGTTTGAAAGATATGACATTGAAACAGATTTTTTAAATATCAATCTTTTGTTGTGGAAAGACAAAAGTCAATATATTAGAGGACAAATAATAGTAAATATTTTAAAAGTTATAAATGATTTGACAGAAAGAGGCATGAAACTCATAGAAGAGTATACCTATTGCAGATTGTTACAGAATACCGGTGTTGTTTTCCTAATAGCAATAAAAGCACATTATGCCAAGAATTTTAAAAAAGATAAATTATTTAAAATATGTAGTCAATTTTTAGCTTCGATGCGAAGCTGAGAAGGTATTAATTTTACTATGATGTGTTTTTTTTTTTTTGTGTCTGTATACGCTCAATCTCAGCTCTCATTGAACCGATTTTGATGAAAACTATGTCAAAAGATCACAAATCGTATCTAGTTGAAGACATTACCCTCAAAAATTAAAAAAAAATCCCTCGTTCTTCGTAAACGGGGGAAATCCCCCAAAAAATTACAAATTTAAAAATCGCTAATTTTCGATATTTTTTCATTTTTTTTTACTTAAAATTGCCATAACTTTTTTAAAAATGACCGAATCAATATGATTTTTTTTTTTATAGATACCTTAGATAATTACCTATCATTTTATATATTTTTATGAACATTTGACCCTTTACCTGCCCACAGAAGGGGTTTCAAAATTACAACTTTTTCACAAAAAATTAACTTTTTCAACATAACTTTTAAAAATGTTCTGGAAAGACTGACACTTTTATATATATCTTAAATTAAAGCAAATGTAATATACTTTAATTTGAAAAAAAAAATTTGACCTCTGGATTTGTCTTCATTGTAAAAATGACTACCGTATTCAAAAATTTGCTATTTTTGTGTTAAAATTCTGGGTTTTGTATTTTATTTTATTTTAAAATACCTAACAAGGGGGGTACAGATTTTCATAAATATTATATAAATGAAAAATTAATATAGCATAGAAAGTTAAACTTATTTAAATTTGTTTGATTCTTTTAAGTCGAGAAAAATAACTTTGAAATTTGAACTAGCTTAAATAACCAATTTTAGCTTCGATGCGAAGCTGAGAAGGTATTAATTTTACTATGATGTGTTTTTTTTTTTTTTTTTTTTTTTTTTTATTTTTTTTTTTGTGTCTGTGAACGCTCAATCTCAGCTCTCGCTGGACCGATTTTGATGAACAATATGTCAAAAGATCACAAATCGTATCTAGTCGAAGACATTACCCTCAAAAATTGAAAAAAATTCCCTCGTTCCCCGTAAACGGGGGAAATCCCCCAAAAAATTACAAATTTAAAAATCGCTAATTTTCGATATTTTTTCAATTTTTTTTACTTAAAATTGCCATAACTTTTTTAAAAATGACCGAATCAATATAATTTTTTTTTTTATAGATACCTTAGATAATTACCTATCATTTTATATATTTTTGTGAACATTTGACCCTTTAACAGCCCAAAGGATGGGGTTTCAAAATGGTAACTTTTTTACAAAAAATTAACTTTTTCAACTTAACTTTTGAAAATGTTCCGGAAAGACTGACACTTTTATATATATCTTAAATTAAAGCTAATGTAATATACTTTAATTTGAAAAAAAAAAATTTGACCTCTGGACTTGTCTTCATGGTGAAAATGACTACCGTATGCAAAAATATGCTATTTTTTTGAAAAAATTCTTGATATTATATTTTACATTTTTTAACATTATGATGCTATAACTTTTTAAAAAATGCATGAATCAATTCTATTTTTTAACAATAAATACTTTATATAAACTTCTTTCATTCGACGTCCTTTTTTTTTAAATTGGACATTTTCCTTTATACAGGGGGGGTGCAAAGTTTTTAAAATGCGTATAGAAAGTAGAACTTTTTCAACTTAACTTTTGAAAATGTTCCGGAAAGACTGACACTTTTATATATATCTTAAATTAAAGCTTATGTAATATACTTTAATTT